TACTTATACATTTTTAATAGGAAAGTAATATATTCCCTGAAAAGAAAAATAGATTTGATTAATTATTTGTCATAAAAGTTGCCTGACAGTTGAAACTTCAAGCTTCTAAGCTAGAAAAGCTCAAATAGACAAATTATACTGAAATGTTCTTTAAAGACCAAGCAGCTACTTTATTAAAATATTAAATTTACAATTTAAAAAGAAAAATTCTGATTTATTATTCAATTATGATAATCTTATTGAAGTGACATGAAATTCATGACAGTGGCCTTTATTCTGTCCAAATCCTGTCCTCGGTTATCCTCAGGCAATCGGTTTTGCCATTATTTAGAGCTGTGCAAGATGACCCACACAGAGCAGCACCATGCTGGAAAGACAAATCCCAGGAGTTCAACTCGATCCTCATTTTCCCCAGAAAGAGAGGGGTTTAAGGCCTGGGATTAGGGCTGATCCCACACCTGTGGCAATGCAGACCCCACGGACCCATCCGAATCTCACTGTCACAGAGAAGGGACTGCAGACTGCACCGCGCAGCACCAGTGAATGACCTTCAAACAACTTGAAGCAGGTTGAATTTACATTTTACTTCAAAAAAAAAGGGGAAGTACATACATGAGGGGAAACGGGGTGAACAAGAGTTATCTGAACCCAGCCTTCTACCCTTTCACCTACAGTTACCACCGGCGTTTGAGTTGGCCGGGCTCTTGCCAGCCGTCGCACGCTTGCTTACAATAGCAACAGGATTGTGGATCAAGGAAACGGGTTCAAAGCTGAGGCCCAACTGGAACTAGTAAGGTATCATACACAGTGTGAGTTTATAGTACACAGCATCTCTTTTTAAATGACGTAACGCAACAGCAGGAAGGAGTAGTAGTAGTTACCAGTTACTAACACTAGAATAATCAAATTTGTATGTTATACATATACAGCAACTAACTGCTTTACAAAAAAAGCAAAATAATACAATATATTGTCACATGTATTTACAGTGTAGTAAATATACCTTTCTGTCAAATTTTACACAAAAAACTATTTACAGGTGAATATACTGCATTAAAAAAAATGGTGGGACCAACACTAAAAGTGACTTTCTGTGGTAAGTTTGTTGCATAACAGTAAGACGTGCTTCATTACACTGGAAAAGAAATTAACCTTAGAATGGAACAGAAAAGGCCCTAAAACCTACAACCCAGTTAGGAATAGAGCACTGGAATGCTCCCGGGTCCACAATACTTAGGTGAAATGTTTCCTGTTCTTGGAAACCTCATGCACATTAAAGCAGAAACATTGGCATAATTAACAGGTAGGTTATGCACTATTCAAATACTACTGAATTATCTTTAAGTCAGGGAAAATACAAACACAAACAAAACGTTAATCATCTTTACAGTACTGAACTGTAGTTAGTGCGTGATGGGTAACGTGTTCTAAACCAGGGGTGTCAAACATACAGTCCCCATGATGTCCTCGCATGGGTCGCGTGTGAAACCCGGGTTTTCCTGAAGCCAAGTCTCATGTCCAAGTACCCTGACTCCGTGCTGCAGGAGCAGCCCATGCAGCAGTGACTGCCTGGAAGCCCACGGGCTGCCTGCAGGAGCCACTCGCAGGTCGGAACGCTTGGATCTGTCTCCTGCTCGCTAGGTCAGGTTCAAATCCTCACCAGCAACTACCTACCTGCTGATCACTACGAGCAGAGAGGAGTAATGGGCAAGGAGGGGATGGAAGCAGGCTGGACTGGGAACTGAGGGTGCTCACCAAATGAAATGGAGAGGGGTGGAGAAAAACCAGGAAAAGAGAACAAATGAAGGAGGATGCGAGCAAGAAAACAAAAAGGCAAAATAAGCGCACTGGCTGTTACAGGGAGCAGGCCAAGTGATGCATGTGACAGTAAGGCACTGAACGACTAATTACTAATAGGAGTTTCATCAGTAAAGAAAGGCCATGGTCCCCTCCTTGATCTAAGCACAAGCTTCCCAACCACTGGTACTGGGAGATGACGTCCCCGTGTATCAGAGCACACGTGATCCCAAAATAAACCTTGGCCATCGGCTGTAACTACACCCACATTCAGCTCCTGTGACCCACATGTTTGACACCCCTGCTCTAAAAAAGTTCAGGTCCTCTCACTGAGCCATGCACTGAAGACATGACTCCCCCTCCTTCCAGGAAACAGGATGAATTCAGTTTTGTTGACTTCCTTTATGAAGATACCAGGTTCTTTTCAGCAGGGACTGGGAGCCTGGAATAGTTCTCACAGGAAAGGTAACTGCAATCGCTGTCCATTTTGGTTTCACATTCTGTGTGTTTCAAACAATGCATTAATTTAGGGACTCTCTTAATAGAGGCAATGCAAAAACGTTGACAGAGGTGCTCTCGCATGCTCCCAGTCAAACAAAACCCCTTTGGTTGTTCCCTGGAATTACTGTTTCTGTTTACAGAGAATCTGCTTGTAGGAGAAAAGTGAAAACTATGGTTTTTTTACCAGCAAATTACAAGAGATTCTTTTTCCCTCCTACCCACAAACCTTCAGGCTTCCACAATTCAGTGTCTTCAGCACGGCAGAAAGGGCTGGAATGAGCTCAGTTCGAACTAACAAGCACTCGCTGGCAGCGATGCCGAAGGTGGCTCTTTGCAACGTGACGTCTGAGATGAGAACAGCTTTTACATCAGTGACTCCCGGAGCTGTCTGTGCACAGCAGCTCCAGACACAGCCCCAGCCACTGCTCTACTCCTGCGCTCAGCTCTGGCCTCACAACCCCTTTCACAGTCCCACGGCAGCTCAGGAACCACATTCCTACCACCAGGAATAAAGAGGTTTGGTTGACTGCACGAGCCTTCGCCTTTCCCAGTGCCTCTATTCCAAGACTGCTGATTCTAAGCTTTCCTCTTGTTTTGGCAAACTATTTGCATATGAAGTTTGTGTTCAGAGTTTTTCCAGGACTGTAAACAAATTAAAGAAATTAAATTGTTATGTTAGGAATCAATACAATAAAGGTATTTTTATTTACATACATGTTACATCGTTACTGTGTGGATACATGTGAATTATGTGCGATAGCAATAAAGTCTCAACACTTACTTGTACCATTCTCTAATAATTTAGCTGTGGAGTTTGATTTACTGAAAGCCACTAAGGAAATTGCACTGGAGGGTTTTACTGCAGCTACTGGATATGCTTTTGTTTTCCTTTGAAGCCACTTGCAGACCTAACATAAACCAGGGCTCTGGCACTGGGGAGTTCAGCTGTTCTTTAGCAGGAGATGCAGAGCCCTCCAGCGAGCACCCAGCTGATGGATGGGCCCTTGGCCAGGATTCCTGCTCACCCCAAGATCAGCACCCAGCACATTTGAGCAGGCGCAGCACCCAGCGCTGCGCCTGACACCTCACTGACATAGCAGCACGTTCACAGCCGTCCACCGCGACGCACGACTGAGCTGACAAGTGCTTCACAGCGACAGCAGCTTCAGTTCTGTGTCACCTCCGAGCACGAACCCTCATGAACTGAAAGCCCAGGGGAGTTCTGTGAGATGGGTTTGGCTGCAGATGCCTGGACTAACACCAGAAATTGCACTGCAGACATTCAGACGTAACCTGCGCTCCACACGGCATCGGCTGGCTTTAAATTCATGTACCTTAAGCAAACATTGCTGGTTTTACAGCGCTGCCCGGGCAGCATGGAAGCAGCTTTGCCAAGCGCCATCTCCCAGAGCTCGAGGTTTAATTCCCCACGCACCCCACGGGTTATGCTGCCAGGAATTCCTCAAAGGAAGGGCAAAACTAAAGTAGATGCTAAATGGAAGAAAGAAGCAGTAAGTATTCAAGACTGCTACAATGACAGCATTATGGTCAGTTCTCGATGGTTTCTTTCCACTATACAACCTGTTTAGTGCAGTTCAAGTATAGCAATGTCCTGGGTTCAGCAGTAGCAGTCATTTTTTCTCCTTCTTAGTAGCTGGTGCAGTGCTGTGGTTTTGACTTTCAGCCTGGGAACAGCGCTGATAACACCGATGTTTTTAGTGGCTGCTCAGTGATGTTTACCCTGACCAAGGACTTTGTGAGTCTCATGCTCTGCCAGGGAGGAAGGGAAGCTGGGAGGAAGCAGGGACAGGACACCTGACCCAAACTAGCCAAAGAAGTATTCCACAGCACGTCATGCCTGCTATATAAACTGGGGGCAGTTACCCGGAAGGGTTAGATCACTGCTCAGTCAGGCTGGGTGGTGAGCGGTTGTATTCTCTTCCCTTGTTATTTCCCTTATCATTACTACTATTGGCGGTAGCAGCAGTGATTTGTGTTATACCTTAATTACTGGACTGTTCTTATCTCAACCCGTGGGAGTTACATTCTTTCCATTCTCCTCCCCATCCCTTCAAGAGCAGGGGGGAGCGAGAGGAGGAATGAGAGAGCGGCCGCGTGGTTCTGAGTTACGGCTGGGCTTAAACCACGACAAGCAAAAAAATCTGCTTTGGAAGAAAGCCAGCGTGTCCAGTCTGGTCCATACACAGTCCAGGCATGTGCAGCTATGGGGTGGGGAATGGAAGAGACTCATGTGGCCTCCTTCTCTCAAATTTATTGCTGTTTACCAGGAATTTAACCTAAGCCACCACGATGGTTAAGCTCATTGCACTGCAGCTATCCTAAGTTCCTTTTAAAGTATGGTAAAAAAAAGTCCACAGCTAAAAATCTTACAGGTTTGAATTAAAACCAGGATTACAGGAACTTCCTCTGGCTCATAAAGCCACCACCTTGAAACGTGTGCAAACAGGGTTAAGGACGAACACGTCCCTCTAGAAGAGAGGCAACCAAGGCAGACAACAGAAGCAAGGTAGAACTCTCTACAGGCAATGGCTTTCGAGTTTGGACACGACACGGATCTGCAGTGTTAAAGAACTCCACACCTCCTTCGGCTGCAAAGTCCGTCAGGATCTACAGGAGCGGTTCTGAAACACTGACTGAAACCAGACACAGAAGGGAGGAAATGAAGGCATTAAAACTCAGGCAATGTCTCAGGAGTTGATCATCTGGCAACACGGCTGACAGGATGGGAACTGGAAAAGTTAAGTGCAGCATTGCAACCGGTGAGGGCCCCTGCGAGGGCCCGCGTGCGTCAGTCTCCAGACAGAAAGTTATGGGGGTCAGAGAGGAGCAATCACACGATCTTTTTGATGCTGTGCCGCTTGAAGCTGCCCGCGCTGCGCTGCTTCTGCACTTGGCTCGCGGAGCCGTGGCGCATCCTCCCACTGTTGGCGTGCCCGGCGGTGGGCGACAGCTCCACGTTCTCCTTGTCGATCCCTGGGGAAACACAAGGACTGGGGTTAAGCTCACTGCATCCTGCAGCCCCAGAGGGGACCAACAGCCTGGACCAAGTGGGACAGTGCAGCCCAGATGCCACCAAATTCCGCCATGGTGACACATGGAGGTTCATTCTAAGCAGGGCATTGGCTATGTGTAACGACCTGGAAGACAACTTTTGTGCTGGATAAACCCAACATCTGAAATATCAGTGTAATTAATAGCTCAGTGAACAGTTTAATATTCATTTGATTCAGGAACGCAATGAGTTTTGATGCATAAACCCCTCCAAAGAAACAACGAGGCCGAGTGGCTACAAAAGCAGTGAATTCAAGATGGACCGGAACAGCCACTGACCTGGGGAGTGCTGGGAGGTTGCAAGCGAGGTCATGGAATTGGAAAGGTTGAGGTTAGCAGTGATGCTCAGCTGGCTCTGCACTGCCGGGGGATACGGAGAGGTGGGCGTCAGGAGAGATTCTTCACTGGTTTCCTCATCGATTCCAGGCAAATACGTGTCAATCAAGGCATCAAGAAACTTCACTATGAGCTCAGCGTAGTCTGGGATTTGTGTTTGCTGTGCACGGTGGGGCAAGAAGAAAGAGACTAGTTCTTTTCTCTAGAAATTCTGTGATCTGCATCCTTCCCGGAGCACCAGTGTACTCCATACAGAAACTTGCAGGGAATGTACTGCTCTTACCTTAGAGAAGGGGCCAGCAAACCTCCACAACCCATTAAATCCAAAACCTACAACAACAAATCAAATGTTACCACACACAGTTCTCAACTGACAGAAAACAACCAGAAACTATGGAATTGCCCAGCCTTACAGGGTTAAACTGAAACTCATCATTTACCCCCACTCCTGGTCTGTATTCCTTCAAATTGCTTAGCAGACACAATACTGACTTTCAGCTTCTTTTGACACACACAGCTGGTGTAGGGCTTTGAATTTTAGTGCACAATAGCAGGGAGCAGCTTTAATATTCACAGCAGCAGGGTCTGTAATATGTAAACTCTTCTGTTTACGAGAATATGACATTGGCAAGATGCCACACAAGACTGACTGAGTGCTCTATTTAGGGCTGCAGTTCTAAACCACTGTCAGTAGTAAATCTAACTTCAGATATGGCTGCTTTTAAACCCAAGGAAAGGTATTTACTCTGTAGGTAAGAAGTTTGGTACTGGGGCGGCGACTCTTCATGGTAGACAACGCTCTGAACGATCCCATGGATTGGATTCAGCAAGTTTGGATCCTGGCACAGCGATAGGAGGGTATTGATCTTGGAATCCAGTAAATTGTGCCTGAAGGAAAAGAGAAGCAGTTTATGTTGTTCATTAAACACAAACCAGCCGCAGTTCCCAAATGACTTCAGCTAAGGTGGGATTTTCAAAACCTCGGTGACTTCAGAAGTACAATGCAATTCCTACGCGTGTTCAGTGTAATGCTGCCAAAGGGCTGCGCTCAAACTGTGCCCCACTGAAGCATTCACCTTACACTTTACATTGCAAAGAGTTTCATTATTTTCAACCAAAACCCAATTCACTGGATTTGGGAACATTTCAGAGCTGCAGTTTCAAAGCAGCTTTTTCACCCCGTGGCAGTGTTCCTTCCCTGGGCTCTGTTAATACAAATGCCACTTACTTATAACTGTGGTTTCAATAACTCACACAACTTGTATGTGCTTTACCCATTTATAAAGGCAGAAAATAGCAGCATGATTTTTACATCATGCTCAGGTCAGCTTTAAGTCTCCTCCTCTGAAGTCCCGACGGTTGGGTTCCTCTTACGCAGACTGACTCCAGCAAATACTACTTTTAACAGGTATCTGAAGAAATACCAGAGTGTCCTGACCTGGCTTTGAATCAGTTTTGACTGGCACGTGGAGTGCTAAGTACAAAACCTGAGTGTGGCTGCGGTGAAGCACCAGGAGCAGTACCTGAGGAGGCCTGGTCCAGGAAGAACACTGGATTAGTTTAACACAGGGGAGAAGGATGATTCTCAAATTGCTATGGACACTTGTCCCAGCAAGCCACGGACAGATGAGTCCTTCATACAAGCTTGTCCTGGTGCAGACCTTTTAAAGGAAGGGCCAAGTCGAGAGTCCCCATGAACAGTGTTGGATACCTACACAACAGGAAAGACCTTTGGGAAGACGACGCTGGCTTCTGCTAAATACTCGTACAGAATCCGCTGGTCAAACTCATCAGTAGTGTACTTCACTAATGTCGCCTGTTACAAGGAAAAGGATTAAATGAGCACACTTGCAATCTGAGTAGTTCTACACAGGCTTTGTTGTTGTAGTTTAAGGTTTTAAGATTTCTGAATAGCAGAAAGCAGCATTACAAAAGATTCATTTGTGTTCTCTCTGGACATGGAACCGAGTCATTTTGTGTCTATGTGGGAAATAAAACCAGCTGGCAATAGCTTCTATTTTGATAAATATTTAGCTAGTTGTTTTTTGTCAAAAGCAGGCAACTGAATCTGTCTGAATTACCTCAGGAATGGCGACTGGATTGGTCCAGCTGTAGAAAGCACCATCATACTGTACCTCTATTAACAGTTAATCACTGAAAAACTGAATTACGCTGGGATTCCAACAGCTTGCACTTCTTGACTTTAGAAGTATAATGTACTGCTATCATTTTATCATATAAAATTACTCTGTGATAATAATCTGCCAGGGAAAAAGCGACAATTGTTGGACAAGTTCTACAAAGCAAGGTGGAATAATGAAAATTCAGTACCTGCTCTCGAGGAGCATTTAAACACATTTCTAACAGTGATTCCTAGAAAGCTGGATCAAAAGAATCGACCTGCACATCACAGGGATGCTGATCCATGTGAAGCTGGAAACCCTGCAAGGAGCACGCATAACGCAACAGTCTCAGAAAATAACAGGGAATAGACAGAAAGAAACCTTACAAGAACCGTAAGCAGCAGCGCTTGTATTTTGGGGTCAGTCAGGACTTCTTCATCAAGCAGGACATTTGACTCGGACACAGAAACCTTTCGGAGATGCGGGTGCTGCTGTGGTGATATTCTCTGGGTTTCTGCCAGATAAAAAAAGAGCAACTCATCCAAAGCAAAAGCAACCCCAACCAAACCAGAACCAGCTCTTGCACAACAAACTCGGTCATATGCAAACTCTGAGGTCACCAGCATTCGTAAGGTAGGAAAGCAACAGCTACGCTGGAATGCCGGCAGCACTGGACCGTTCCATGGGATGTGTTATCAATGGTCAACAATAACCCCAATTTCCTCATCAGTGAAATACAGGCCCAGGGGTGGCAAGTCCCACGTTCTGGCTCTGGCAGCAGACTGCCATCAGACACGAGAGCAGAACCCTGGTCTTGCATTGCAATTGGGGGTGGGGGCACAGGAAGCAGATGTGGGAGACGATGAAGAGAGGCATTCGAGGCATTAGGTCATGTTCCATCTCCTGCAGGAATTTGCAGCTTGGGTTTGTTAGCTCAGAAAAAGCCAGATTTGGTTTATTTCAGTCCACTCCTGTACGTGCAGCTTTACAGCTACAAACTGAGCAACTCCAATTCAAACCTCAGTTGCTAATGATAGGAAGACTTTGCTCTCCAGAAGCCACTGCTGAGACAGATATTTCTCCCTTACCTTGTAGTGTCCTAGGCAAATAAACACTGAATTTAGAAATAATTCTTTGTATGTGCATACAAAGCATTTATAATTAGTATTATTCTGAAAATGTTAGTCCTGTTTCTCACCCATTTCATAATCATTTTCGGCTACTCTCCTCATTTTGGGAGGCGTTGTGATTCCAGATTCCATGTCTTGCCTTTTAGGAGCCTTTGTGTCCGATATCAAATGGTCAAAACTTTTCCTTGTACCTAAAAACAATTTATCAGGCAATTAAAAACATTAAACCTAGATCCATATTCTAACTTTTCCTGATTTTCTGGCCACGCTACTCTCCTATCTACAACGCATTGACAGGAATCTGGGGACGTTTTCACCATTTTCAGGGATGGTAAAGAAAATACGATCACACCATGCCGCTCTCCATCACAGGTTCCAAAATGCTTCACAGTATGTATGAGGGAAGCATGCAGTTTACTCAGAGATGTATGCTGGGGCATGCTATGGTTTCCTGGTCACCACATCACATCCAATAAACATGCCAAAATGTGACTACTGAAAAGGAAGCAGTAACAGGATCATAATGAAATAACTCTCCTCTTCATCCACGTACACCACGGAATGTAAAGGGTACCCACAAGTTACACCAAGCAACTCATCTTGTTTCTCTGACACTGAGGCTTTGCTTGTAAACAGGATGCACTGAGAGGCCATGAATAAAAATCAGATTGCTTACAAAACTTCTAAAATGTTTTGGGACCCTCTCTTCTAGCACAAGACAGAGAACTCAACTCAGCAGCTAAGCTAAGGTATTCGGCTTCTTGGCTTTGGTGAAAGAGGGCTGGTGGCAGAACACTGGCACTATGAATCTTTAGTGTCTGGAGTATCTCTTTTTCTTCCTTTTTTCCCTTTTTCCTCCACATATTTTGAGTGTCACTTTTGCTTCCCCCCTTTGTGATCAAAAGACCCGAGTTAGTCCTCTCTAACTGTACAGTGTTCTGTAATCATACTTTGTAGGAACTGCATACATTCCTCTGTATAGGGAATAAGCATTTAAAGTCAGAACAAATACAAGTATAACGTCTCGCCAGTAACACTCCCTGGGGTACTCTGCAGACAAAGGAGTGAATTAGTTATGTGAATAACCTAGAAGCTTTTTAGTGTTCGCTTGTGACGGCTGCCCCATATCCAAACTCATGGATTTTCGTGTTCGAGGGCTTATCTGTCCCACTGTCGGGTAACTGGCAGCCAGGTGTCTGTCTGACCCCTTTGGTGATGACCAGGGCTGGTTTTCCTTTAGTGTCCTGAAAGTGCAGAGAAATTCAATTAAGAAAATCTTTAAAACTGTGCATATTTAGGCATAAATTGTTCAAATAGCCAAACTATCCTGTATTAAACCCATCTTTCCTAGCAGGTTAATCTCCCCAAAACACATACAAAGAAATAGTAACTACTTTGCTTGCAAAAGTGACTAGTGAAGGCTAACAATCTGATACGGATGTAATGCTGAAGAGATAAACAATAAAGCAATGAAAAGAACACAAGCAAATCAGCCTACAAGGCAAGACGAAACTGGATGCTGAGAAGAGAGACACTGAGTAAAGTGCTCCCCATTGAGAGAAACTGGCTCTCCCCATCACTTTGAGGTGGGTTTCTCAGCTTATATCTGTGCTGCAGATAGACAGGCTCTAAGGTGTTGAGATTTTCCAATGACAAGGATAAAGTGACTACTTATAGAAGGACAAACGAAACTTCCTTCTAAAATATAAATGAGATGAAATTAGGTCTTGTAGAAAGATGTTAGCAAAGAGTTTAACAACCTCCAAAGCAGTTAAGCTCTGCGATACAGACCTCAGAATTAAACCTGTATGAATTTTGATACCCACATTTCTCTGTGACTGAGTTTTTAACAGAACACAGGTTACCTTTGGGTGATTTATTAAAGGAAACAGACATTGAAATGCGTGTGAAATATCTAAAAGTCAGACAACCAACCTATAGCTAGTGTCACTGTGATGGATGGGGTAGGTATCCATGGGAACATTCTCCATTGAAACGTCCGTCAACAAGAGAGACTTCCTGTGCTTCAGGCTGCAGCGACTTCGAACTTCCTCAGACACTGTCAGCAAAGCTAAAACGCCAAAGAAAGCCAAGGTAAGTTTTGCACAGAGGCAACGCTGAAGGTAAGCAGCATTCCACCCACTTCACACTTCTCCTGTGTGCACTGCAGTGCCGTGGGCTTACATCCCAGTGGTCGTCTTTGTTCTGATTCAAAGCAAGTCATTTAAAAAGAATGCTCATCCCCATCCAGTCACAGTTGCAGGACTTAAACACTTGCCCCCCATGGTCACAGTTTCTGCTCGTAGATCACTAGGAACTGGATCACCGTAAGGCACACACTGCAGGGCTTAAACCCAGAAACCTTCAGCCTCCCTGAAGGGTTTCCACTGCTGCACAGCCGCTCCCCTGTGGGTGAAGCCTTCAACCCCCAAACTCTGTCTTTGATGCACCCCAGCCTAGCCCAGCCCCTCGGCCACCCCCACTTACAAGTGTCCTTCACGTTGGTACCATTTTATCAACCCAAACCCACAAGAATTCCCACAAGAATCCGTTCATTTGCAGTCAGCACAAACTGAGAACAACGTTGGTTTGTCTGACTTTACCTGCCAGGTAAGCCACGCTCTGGGTGTTCACCTCAAACTTGTCACAGTTCCTGTGCTTGTTAACCAGAGCTAGTAGTGTGTGTAAAATCCTCACAGTTCTTGCTACAGTGGTAGGAGAAGGGTGCCTGTACCCTAGGAAATGGGGTTAAAAACCAAATACCGTATTTAATGTTCAGTGCATATTTAAGAAGCATTAGTATGTTCATTAGCATGTTCTCAGGACACTTCACATGAAGAGTAAGTAAGGAAGCACAACTCCACCAGATGTAAGATGTGTTCTTACCCTTCAGGAGGTGTCCCACTAGTGCAAAGTTGAAGTTGGAGTTGAAATTCAGGCCAACAAAATGGTCCATCTGCTTGCAGTGCCACTCCAGGGGTCTCCTGATCTCCATGAACACCTCTTCCGGGCTCTGTCCAGGAAAAAGAAAACCCAAGAGCTGCTCATGATAGCTCCAGGTGTTCTTTTTACAAGTGACAGAGTAATTTTAAGAGCTTACACTGAAATACCAAACACACCTTTGAACACATCTGTACATTGCTGTTCCAGTTCAGAACACAATTACATACATCTCAGTTGGTATTACCCAAGTGAGACAATCCCTAATGCAGTTTTAGCTGCTTACCCAGTGTCTAGGAGGACAAGGAGCTGTGGGCTTTTCTTGTATTAACAGATGTAACTGCCCACACAAACCCTGTGTCAGTCAGAGCTGGTTGCTAACAGCTCACCTTGTCGTTGAATACTCGAAGGCTGTCCAGGGTGTGCAGATTCTGCTCAAGTAGGGCTGTACCTGCTGAGTACAGGTTTACTTCATCCAGCTGCAGCACTGCCATGGCTACCCAGAAGAGGGCCTTGTGCATCGGCGAGTCCTGGAGGGAAAGAGAGAAAGCCACGATTGTCAAGTCAGTTCCTGTAAATGAAAGACAAATGGGACTGACACACGGGTTTGGACATCATTACAACCCTTCCTGGAGCCAGTCCTGTCCTCAACCACATCCACTCCAACACACAGATGGTCATGTGAACCTGTCATCTTCATGCACTTAACAGGTGAATAGTAGAACATGAACTAATTTCAAGCCTTTTATTTCCCCCTAAGCCATTTCTTCTCTCTGGTACCCCTTCCCTTGCTCACAACACGTCCGACACACCATGCCTCACACCTGACTGAACAAAAACCTGTCCTCAGATTGAAAGCACATGTTGAAAATGGATTGCAACTCTGCACACAAAACTGGCCAGGCAATTTCTACTCCAGATCAAAAAGCACACAGGAGGAATGCAGACCTTGGGGTCTCAGGCAGCAGATTTTTCTAGGAACAAGGTTTATGTACTAATAGTAGGTGCCTGAGGCTCTTTGTTACTGGAATACCACTCATATCATGAACTTGAAAGCCCCATCCAGATGGCCAAGTTAGCAGCAAATCAGAGCAGGGTGACATTTACTGCAAGCCATGCCCTGACAGGCCTGTACTGGCAAACACTGAGAGCCAAGGCTGAGAACCTTCAGACAGCCGCTGGCAGCCTGTGCTCCATCAGTGCTGTGGCTGATGGAGCAGAACAGCTCAGGCTGAGGTGTTTTTAAAGTCATCTCACAGGTCCCACATGGAAACATCTGACACTGCCCATCTGCAGCATTTGGGCATGAGTCATAGCAGTGAAGTGTGAACTTCAGAGGCCCCAGCATTCACTTATTTTGTTAAGATTATACCCATAATTGTGGTTTTCATTTACAAACTGTGTTCTCTGCTAATTTTCGTGTACCCAGGTACACGAAATGTACCCAGTTTTTTACCTTGTTAAGAAGAGGCTGCAGCTTGGTGAGGGCTATAACCGTAGCTTCTATCAGAACTTGGCTATTGTAATTATCAGGCCCTTTTAAACAGCTCTCGAGTCCCTTTGTGCAGAGGGAAAAGAGAAAAAGTAATTAAAAATAAACCCATAATTAGATTCTGCTTTGTAAAAAGAGGATCAAAGCTCTAAATAATTGTTACTCTCAATGAGCTTACAAAGCTTGAGCTCATTTTAAAGCAACTCTCAAGACCTTTTCCAAATGGAGATTTACACAGAAGTGATACAGGCACTGCTGAAAGCAACTGCACAGCGTGTGTTGAGAAAGTAAGGGTGCAAGGATTACAGAGCCTCTCTTCTACAGTGCAGATGCTGCTCAATTTGAGTTTTATGGACATAAACTTCAAAAAATGCTTAAAGGAAACACATTTAGCACAGGGTGTCCGTGCTACGGAATGCAGCCTCCTTCAGGGAACATGGAGCACCAGCACGAAGCGAGGCAGTCTGCTCAGAGTTTTCTTAAGTGACTGTCCTGCTCTTTATTGCATTTATTTATAATACATTAGGTTATTAACTGCCTTTAAAAACAAGGAAGTTGTGAATCATGTGCATGCAGCCAAATGCCTTAACAGAACATTCCTCATTTATTTAAATAGCAGCTTCTCCATCCATCTCATCATCTCAGATCACAAACTCAAAACTGACAGCCGCTGTTACTTTAGGAGCCACAGCAGTGACAAAACTTACTGCCACCAAATTGATCTAAAATGAAGTGCATGGCCTACACGAAGTGCATTTCCAACCAGTCAGTTCCATAAAACAGGCTTGGGAAAATATATTTATCCTCAAATTATACCGAGTTCTGTACTTGATGGGAAGATAAAGCTAAAAATAGCTAAAATAGCTATTTAGGAGTCATGTAGGAAAACAGACACAGACTCACATACCTTGCTAAGAATTCGGATTATTTGCTTTATTTGTCCATGAGATACACGCTTACTTATGCAGCCAAAGACAACAAGTGCTCTCGGCTGCAGGGATGGATTGTACTGGAATGCAAACCTGTGAGGAAACAGAGCATTAATGGAGAGACAGCAGCCAGGCTGCGTAAGGAGGACCTGACAATTTTAGGTGTGCACTCAGGCAGGCAGGGGTTATGGTCTTAGAGCTGTCACATACTTTTGAGCTAGTTCAGTCCACTGGTCCAGCCACTTGCATGTTGGAATATCCCTCATACATGCCTGAAAAGAATTATATTGATTGAATATGTGTAACATTAAGTGGTTTTAAAATTCAGACTGTGCAGTCAGAGCAGTTCTCACACACCAAGTACTTCAATATCCCTTACCACATGCTGGGAAGAGCACCCCTACACCACTCGCCTGCAGGAAGCACACGCAGTGCCACTGGCTCTCAGGGGTTATTTGCTTTGACCCACGTACCTCCATGATCTCCAGCAGTGCCTCAGTAACAGTTTCCAACGAGGTCAGGGCAAAAGTCTCCCTTTCATAGGAGCCAGGAGAGAAGGACCTGTCTCGGTAGCTGGAGCGGAATGCGATGACCGCGGCCGACTTCACTTTGCTGATTCCAAACAGCAAATAGAACTTGGGCAGAGAGAACTCAGTCAAGCTCAGCCTTAAAACTTGCTTGGTCTCCTCTGAGGAAGGAATGTTCAGTATTAGATCTAAAGCACTGAAATTCAACCCGTGTTTCAAACACCGCAGCTCACCCTCCCATGAACACCAAAGCAGATAATCATCCTATAGGTCACTCTGCATATTCCATCATTCTTTTCTTTGCTATTTCCCCCAGAGTATCCCACAACCACCTTGGTCTGCTGCACAGACTGCTGAAGCCAGCCACTGGGATGGTGTATTCTAAAAACAGGTTGAAGGAAGCTTCTTTAAAGATGTGGCTCTGTGAGACTTCTCACACTGATTCATAAAATGGGAACCTGGAGAGCTCCTGCTCTGAAATCCCAACCCTGCTGTAAGTTCAAGCTGCAATCAAATGCTGCTTTTGGCTCTGGCACTGAAGAAGCCACTTAACTCAGAGGAAAATGACAGCCTTGCTCCCAGCACTGAGTACTTTTACAGCTCTGAACTTCCAGTTCATTTCAGTGCACTTCCAATTCATCCACTGAACAGGAAGGGTTGCCCTTCTCTCTCTGCATCAAATCAGAGCTTTTCTTTTCATATACATATACATATACATATGTGTATTCACACACTCACTGTCAATATATATAGATATACAATGAGCTTTCAGATCATAAAAAGATTACATAAACTTTGACTTTTTCCTCCCTAGTTTTACACTCTGTGGTAAGAAGTGACAGCTACTTATCTGCTTACACCAATTATTATAGGACTGCTAAAAGAGCAGCATGCAAAATACCTGTCTTAACAGTATAGTTTCACAATTCCCTTATGTAATTGTTATTTTTGTTACCACATTATGCAACCACTCAAAAGATGCACATCAGCTGCTTTTAGCACAGACCTTATTTTCTCCTTTCTCTGCATCACAGGATCTTGCTGGTACTTTCTTTTTTCTAAAGCCTGTTATACAAACAACTCACATTATGCACCTGCTCTAAACCAGACAGTTCTAACACCAAACTCGTTTGTTGGAGATCAAACCCTCAGCGAGCTGAACCACAACACGGGATTTTCACACTCTCAGAACAGTGCAAAGACAACTCCAAAATTTCTCAAACAAACGAAGGAGCATTTGGCTTAACTGGAAACCCTTACCACTGAAGTGAAGCTGGGAACAAGTGCAGAGAGAATGAATGATGTTGATGACGAGACCATGAGTGGAAGCTCTGAGAGAAAGGGGACCAGTGGCCACCAACAAGGTGACCACGTGGAAGAGGTAGGGGAGATGTGCTGCCACATCCAGAGAATTGTTGAAGGAGAGCATCAGCATGTAGCGTGCTAGAATAGCAATGTCATCCCACATCAGGTGCTGCTCCAGGGTAGGAGTCGGAGACAGACAAGTCTTGTCGATTATTTTACACATCCTCCCAATCACCTGAAAACATGGAACAGTTTTGTTTCACTTAAAGGAGAAGCACAGCTTGAATTTCAGTAAACCCCATTACAACTTAATATTGGGATTATCCTATTGCTTGGAACCAGTTTTATCATGTTCTTTGCATTACTGCCTGTACTGAGTCACCAGAAAGCTTCTCTCTATCACATCATTATATAAGATTAAGTTATTATATAAAAGGAGATCAAGGCAAAAGGGGAACTCACTTTGCTTGAAACCAGCTTTACATTTCCTGAAGCAAGTGCTACAGCCGTGTCTGCCATAACCTCAGCCTTTATGGAGCCTAAGCCCCCTGTGGCACTGGTCTTGATAAAGCTGTCCAGCACGACATCCAGGAGATCCGTTATCTGTTAGAGACGGTAAATTCTGTTTGTTCAGTCAGATTAACTTCCTTTTTCCACAGTAAACAGCCTGTTAAATCAGCAATCATTCCTTTTTAAGATGCATAACAACCACAGTGGTCTGTTATCCTTCGGGAGAAAAGCCTACTGTGTATTTTAGAGGTGTAAAGCTCTACCAACTTTTACTCCAGATCACAATGCTACAGAACTGCAGAGAAACTGAAATTCAGTTTGTATTACTTTTATTAACAATGCAACAGGTTATGCAGAACGTGTACCTGTCCAAGACTTCCCCATATCTTGGCCTGGATGGAAGGGTACATCTGCTTCTCGTTTATTGTCATCGTTATGAGCTTATCAAGAATGGCCGTGACCCGCTGGCGCTTGGCATCATCGTTGTGTTTGCAGAACCGCACCAGGTTGGACAGCCAGGGAGTCATGTACTCCAGACAGAGGTGCTTCAGTTCAATACCTGCAGTAAAGCACAGAATCAACACTGGTCTCTATTTATAAGCAAACAATTATTTGTGAGCACTTTTCCTCTCGGTTTTATTGTCCAAAATAATCACTGTCAGAATTGAGCAAATAACACCGGGCAAGCAGAGCAGCTTCAGAAAGAAACACTCTGTTAACGACATCCAAGAAACACTGGTCGCAATCTGGCAAGGAGATGCTGACATTTAATCTCTTACTAATAGACGTGACAAAGATGTGAACATTCAGGATTAGGCAGGAGTATTTAAGATAATCTCTTTTTAATCTTGAGAATGTATTCCAAACAGCTTCCAACAGTAAAGGCAGAGCTGTACTTTGCCATCCTTTTTTTCCAGTAATAAGCAGTGCAACAGAACCAGATGTCCAACTGAGAGATACAGTCAACCTGAAGAGATTGATCTTGACAGGACTAAAGAGCCCTGTAACTCTTCTGTGTATATTCTAGAGTTCAAACCTTCACTATCAAATTTTGGTTCTCATTCTGCAATAATCTACTTCTGATGAATTAGTAACAGAGACCTGGCCAAAGTACTCACTGTGCAGAGCTATCAACAGCGATACGAAACTAATAACCTGGACTGTGATCTCTCTGAATGAACTTGAGCCCCCAAACAAAGGAGTTATGCAGTGGAACTGGTTTTCATGTTCATTTCGAAGTTGCAATGCATAAGGAATACTGGAGGTACTTACTAGACTTGCTGAATCCAGAAATGCACTCTTCCAAGAACTCTAAGGTGAGGTGGGGTTCGTTAGCTGCAAGAGTCTTACTAATAGATACAATAAATAGTGTGTTGTTGGCAGGAATACACAGTCCTGACGTTTCCAGTAACTGGCCCTCAATCTTTAAATTAAAGGTACATGTTAAGGCACATAGAAGATTATAGGCAGCAGACCTGTAACAAAGCAAGCAACGTGACTTGTAAGAGTTTTCTTGGATATATATTAAAACACATGCATTACACCAAGGCACCACAGTGATAAAACTGACATTTGACAACTCACAGCACTACTGCTATGCAAGAGATTACATTTAAATCCTGAACTTCTTTCCCTGCACTAGTTAAGACTCAGAGACAAAAACATTTGCCTTGAAGAGACAAAAGAAATTACTCCTCCACTTGCTTTAAACTATTCCTGATAAGGTTAAAGACTGTGCTTGAAGGAGCTGGCACTGGAATTCTCAGAACAGCATTCAGCTCTAGGAAATTCTATGTATTTCCACGTGCACCTGAGCTAATAGGAGAGACCACCATGGCCTGCAGGCAGAGGCAGGGCTTAGTGCCACCACTGAGAGCCAACTCTATCAGCGGCAGCTCCCATGGTGTTTAACAAGTTCAACACCATGGAAATCAGATGTACCTAACAAACCTATATTGGAAAGCAGAAGTATTTCTCCTTTTAAAGAGAAATTGAGCTTCCTACACACCTCCAGTAACTGACAGTGCACGTGCCTTTCTTCCTCTATAGAAAACACAAGCTTGCTTAAATTAAATGTACATTTTATGGAGCTGTGGTGAAAGAGGAATCATTCTGTTCAAGTCAGACTTGCCCACACTGAGGAAAGCCTAGAAAGGATCCACACTTTGATGCTAATGTAAAAGGTCCGTACCGCAGGCTGGGGTCGGAGCTCCCCAGGTTGAGCAGCGCGATGTTCAGCAGCGTCCCAGGGACATCCTTGGGGCGAATTTTGGTGTGCTGGGGGATGGAGTCTGGTTGTGAGAGCTCCCACCGCGTCCGTATGTGAATGATGGACCTGACAATGGCTTCACACTCCTGATGCATGAAGGTGAGCGGTGTGCCCTGGTTGGCAATGGTCAGTGTAAACTGGTTCTCATCCACGAGACATATTTCCTCGATCTCAGAGGCGTAGTAGATGTCATTTAGAAACACTGTTTGTCCCAGGACTCTTGTTCGTTCTGCTGATGTCACCTGCACAGCGGTCGACCCAACCTTAGGAAGAGAACAGAAAAGTGGTTTAGCACCTACTGTTAACAGTGCAGAGAGAAAAGTCTGACACCTCTGATGTTACAGACACACACTTCCTAAAGAGGCATACTAATAACTTGTGTTTTCTCCTCAAGACAGGAGAGGAGAATTAAGAGACAGTAAAATCCTATTCAAATCCTTATGAAAATGTATCAATCCACTAGGAACAGAATTCGAAGGACTTACTTTAATAGAGACTTTGGTGTCTTTGTGAGCCAGTTTGAGAGCATTGTGAAATACTTTCAAATCCTCCTCCAAAGCCAAGGTAGCTGCTGGGAGTTTCTGCTGGTCGTGTTCTATGTGCTCGGCCAGTTTCCCTGGAGAGTCTATGAAAATAAGCCTTTTGCTTCCTTTCAAACCTGTCAAGAGCCTTTCATGGTATTTGGTGTATTCTCTGACCCAAGAGTTACAGTTATAAATAAAAACTGCTGAGACATTTTCATAAGCAAAGCCTGGAAAAACTACAAACCATTTAGAAAGAAAGTCTGTTTTAAAGCGATTACTGGGGCCAGCGTGAGTGAGGTCCACCACAATCTCATATGGCTTTGCATAGTATGGCTTCAGAGTCAGCAGCACATGGTAGATCAGCAGATCTCCGTTGATCTGACCAGTCTTGAATCTGTAAGAGAACAAGGCAGACACGGTTGGGTTTGCGTGCCATGGCTCACACTAACTCCAAGGTTAATGACCAGTATCATGAAGTTGACTTAGGACCTCACATAACGTAAAATATTAAGAACCTTTTTGTTCTCATTTAATGATTCTTTGAATCTCAGGAGACTGGACCCTGCATCAGCCAAAACCAAGCCTCCAGAGCCAACACATCAGACAAAAGTCTACCAGGAAGGATTAACTGAAAATCAAACTCAACATCTCGTGGGCATCTGAGGTACTTCAAATACCTGCCACTGTTTCAAGCTAGCATGAGCTCCACTCCTTCAAGGCAAAGTGACCGCAGAAGGAGGTAATAAATACTGTCAGCATGGATGTAGTTTTCAGTGTGCTGGGACACTGCTCTTGGGAACACCTCAGGTAAACCAGTGGGACACAGGGTAACTGAGGAGGTGCATTTCGTGAAGGTAGAATGTTTATCTGCCAAAGAGACTCTCTTCCCTCCCATGCACCTTCCTGTTGTTCCGAGAGCTAATCTGGGCAAGTTGGTGTTTTCCCCCCTCTACCGTGTCACGGCAGAGCTGTTACAAAAAGGAAGTGTGTCATCGCTGTGGTTTTAGCTCTCCACTTAAATGACATATAATTTCAGTTACAGATCGGCTTAAAAAATACCAGCACTGCCTAAACTGACTCGCTCTGTGTGAATGGTCGCTTGCATCCCAACAGCAAATGCACACACAAAGAAATGTTATTGTTGAAGGACTAAATACCTGAAACACCAATCTTCTTTTGACTACATCTTGGCAAGGTAAGTGCACATTTTCTTTCTCTAACTGTAAGTTCCCCTTGGAAGTTTCTAAGATGTACAAAACTGCATGCAGAAGTATTTCTAAAGAAGTTCAGGTGACTCAGAAACACCCTGTACAAATATCTCCAACTGAATTCGGAGGCTCATGTATTTTTAGTACTGTTAAATCAGTACTAAAATCACAATCAGACTCCAAAGAATGAACAGTGACAGTCGGTCCTTGGCTCTGTTGTTACTGCAGATTTCAGGGAGCTCTCACAGATGACCCTGTCCATACCTAGGCACAAAGGGATGAACCAAAAAAGAAAAAGCAGCTCTTTAATGCAGTTCCTTTGCTCTCATGATTGTAAGTGAAGCCTTTAACATCAGTTTATTATTTTTAAGAAAAGCACATTTGGTCTGAACACCACAATTAACACTGGACTTGTTGTACCCTCGAGGGAGCAGGCAGAGCTGCAGCTCTCAGGCAGTAACATCCAAGTTGGAGTAGATCTGTACTGGCAAATGGAGCTCAGTTCTGCAGGCCACACAGAAGCTTGGTGTGAAAAGTTGTTCTGTTCCCAAAGAAAGGCGTTGCTGGCTTTGCTTTCTTCCTTTAAAATTACAGTACAAGGCAGTGTCAAAGGAACCTTCACTATATGAAGGTAAAAGTCCTACCTGAGCTGCAGCTGATTTCTAAACCAGTTTCTAGTTCCAACTTAGCAATAAGGATTCATCTCAGAATTAGTCTAATTGCATGTCACAGGAAAGCTGCAAAGTTACGTCTATCTTTTGCTGCTCCTTTGTCCCATAAGGAGAGGCACCCATCGCTGTTCCCTGCTCACACACCAGACATGTCACCTCTCGTGCTCCTGGAGGACATCAGCAGGACAGGGGTTTGCAAGATAGGCAAGTTCACCCTCTGATTTTGGGGAGTGAATGGGGCAAGCTCTCTGGCAGGCATGGCAGCTTCTGACTATCATAGAAGTGAGTGTTGTCTGGAATATCTCTGAATGACCTAACCCCACAAACATACATGTTACCTGGAAAGCAGTACCTCCAAAAGCAAATGCATTTGTAAGAACAGCACTGTTCCTTCTGGTCATTCTCTGCATTGTTCATATTTGAACCAAACAGTCTGTGACTTTCAAAGCAAATGTTTTCTTCTGTTAATAGAGACAGGGGAAAGCCACTGGATGGGATAAGCCTTAAACTCTGACAGTGTCTCACACATGCAGACTGGATGAGGCAGCAGCAGTGAAGTGCTTCACTCCTACTCTGATCTGTCACTGTCATTTTGAGGTTATCAAACTTGGTATCAAAGCTGAGGTTATCAACTTAGTATCAGGCTGACCTAAAGCTCAGTTTCCTGCCCTTCAGACAAGCTCAACCGGTACAGATTTGATCACTGCACAAATGTGAGACAGAACATGCTACTGGTAATACCATTTGCATCAATCTCAGGCGTTTCACAGAAAATGTCACAATCTGCAGCACGGCTGTGAGAAAAAGGAGAAGAGCGTTTGTGATAAAATAGCCTTTTGTACAATAACGCAGAAAAATGAGAGACCAAAGATTTCTGTGAAACACTCCTGACACCTGTGCTAAGAACAAAGAAAGCAGTTACAAGAACATTTCAGACTGAGGTTTTTCACTTGACCATCTTTACATGCATGGCTACCTTTCCCACACCCAGGTGGGTGCAGACAGCAGCAGCCATCTGTAACCTGCACATGGGTTTCTCATTTGGCTGTGTAAAAGCAGAAGTGATGGACCTCAATCTGTAGTATGGCCAGCTTTAAAGAGGAGGAACTACTAAAGAGGGGGAACTACAGAGTCTGCCTCTACATCACAGAGCAGGCAGTGGGGAACACTTCCCCTTGCGCTTGGGTCCATGTTCTTTTTCAATCCTCATATATTCTCTATAAACCTCAAACTGTCAGAAGCTCTTGACAACCAGTTCTTTCAGAGTACCAAGTACCTGCCCTCAACCCCCTGCATCCACTACAAATGTGGTTGTTACACGTTTTTCTAACTAAAAGGCTGCTGCCTGCTATTCCCCGAGGAGCCCAACTCAAACCTCTGAGAACCAGCCCTTGCTAAACAAATCCCATCATTTGTACTTTTGCAGGTGACTAAACAGGAAGATGAAGACCAGACACAGCAAATCACACTTTGCCTTCCCTGTCCTGATAATCTTTGCTTTGTGTCTGCAAACAAGTGCAAACCACACCAATTATCCAAGGGTTATAAATGAAACCTGGAATCCTACCAGCCAAAATGTAAGTGGAAGCCAGAACATAACCGAAGCCAATAAAGATTCTCCTCTGAGCATCAACTTCAGCAGCAAAACAACTACTCTGGAAATGCAGACAGGGACCGTGCAATCCTTATCCTCCACAATGGCCCAAAATCTCACATCCTCCCCTGCCAGCACTGCAGTGGCAACTTCTGCCACTGGAGGACCCAGGAATTCCAGCAAACCCAAGAGTACAGGGACAAATGAAACCTGTGAAGACAGCAAGTCTCTCATAATGATCTGCTTCATTGTAATAGCTGTGCTCGTGCTCATCTGCACCTTCTTATTCCTGTCCACAGTTGTGATAGCCAACAAAATGTCTTATCTCAAGAAAGCTCAGCAGGGAAAACGCAGGCCCAGGAGCAACGGCGACATCCTGGCGACCAACAGCTTGTGGCCAATGGCTGCAGGGACATGGCAGAGGATGAAGGAGACAACTGGAGCTGACTTGGTAATGCAGGACTTGATACCAGGGAGAGACACCGCAATCCCAAGGGAAACTGAAGGTGAAACTACCAAGAAATTCTCTAAAGAAGCAGACAAGAAGCAGGGAAGCAAAGAGCCACTGAAGTCACACAAACCCATTTTTACCAATTTTGTGGTTGAGATTTAATTCATACTCAAGGAAAAAAAACAAAATTGTCTCTTGCCTTTTTGACATCATTAATATAAGGTAGAAACTTAACTTTTAAGTAACATGAATTTTAACACAAGAAAGCTGAATTCAGATCTTAGGGTTTTCCATCTACCATAGTGGGAATGCTGCAGCAACTTGGAGATCTAGAAGGGAATAAGACTGTGTTAAATAGCTTTCTATAAACCAGAGTCAAGACCAGCTTTACTCCTGTGACCAGAACTCATGGTGATAGGGGCTGAAGGGAATCAAACAAAAAAGAACAGAAGCCTGCCCATTCTCAAAGGTCACTGGGAAAAGAAAGGGAAGGCCTGGTAGTGTGATGAATGCAGCGCACTATGAGGTGTACGTGGTAAAACCAAGCTGCTTTTTCCAGAAAGCTGTAATTCAGTCACTACTGATGCAATAACTGCACCAGGAACTAGTCCCTCTCCAAATGCCCTTTCAGGTTTTTCCATCAAGAACTTCTGAAACCAGCTTAATTGCTTTCGAACCAGATGGAGACATGAATCATATTTATTGTGTTGAGTTTGTGTGAGAAGACAGGGCATTTGTATTATATATGTTAGAATATGATAATGATTTCAATTTGTTATCTGCAATAAACCAGCAACATCCATTTTTAAATAACTCACGTGATACTGTTTCTCTAAGTCAAAATACTCCAAATACGCATCAGACAAAGCAGTTTGGAATATTATATTCCTCTACCACTTGCTGAAGGTCACTAACGGTCTCTCTCCCCTGACGAGTGGCTGTGGCATGCCTTGCACCACAGACACACACTCCAGTCTGTCCCAATACAACCGATTACAACACACCAAAAGTGTCTTCAAACCCACCACAACTTCTTGTTTCTTAACTCTCAGAGACTCCACTTCCTCACATCTGGGGAGGGCTGAGTCTGCTCCCACTACAGCAGGGCTCTGTTGATTTAAGGAAAGATGAGAGGCTTTCCACAGGCTGCCCCCTGGATCAAAGGAGACCTGTTGTACCTTGGTTACATGTGCTAACAGCACACGATGGTGAAGCACCAAGCATCCTGTGCAGCTGTACCAAGCATCTTTGACACAAGAGGTGGTTGGATGATTCAGGACAAAACACTGAGTCCCCAGTTCCTACTCCATGACATCACCTCTAAAAGTGGCTGAAAGGGCAAGTAAAAAGCAACGGAGAAGCCAGAGGACAGGGGATTATGTCAGTTTTAAACATGATGGGAAAGGCCAGGAAAAGAATGAGATCAAACTGTGACAGATCAGTGATGACAACTAGTACTTAAAGGAGATGAACCGAGGAATATCTCACACTGGTGACAGAAGCAAAGCTGAAGGGCAGTGCAGGGGGATGCTGCATTGCAGTCACCTTCTCCTTCCCCAGAATGACCACAAGCACAGGGGGCAACAGCAGAGGCTGTGCATGTACTAAAAAAAGCATCTGAGATAGCAAATGTGAGAATCTAACTTGGTGTAAAACTGCTCAAAGCCAGGCCAGTATGGAACTGAAAGGGAAGGGTCTGTAAGAGTGAGACACTGCATGCAGTAAGATGCTCGTAGGCAGCAGATTACAGGGATAAATCAGCAGGGTCATGAGAAAAGCAGACAAAAAAAGCAAGAATCACAATCACATCAGTGGAAGGAAGGAAAAAGAGGAAGGAGAAAGAACTTTCAGCAGGGTGGGAGCTGTGGCAAAAGATCGGTGGAGACAGTGAGGGTTGACAAGAATGGGGATGAGATAAAGAAATCAGGAAGAAAGAAACTGAGTTACAGGGTGAGCATGGGATCAGGATTTGCTGCAGGAGAGGCAGAAAAAGAGAACTGGTGCAGTCAGAAAGGTGGTACAAGAAAAGCAGGAGGAGATGGGAGAAGCTGCAGAAGGATCTGGCAGCAGCTACTTGGAACTGGCAGAAATACACTTGCAGAATGCTATGAGGACGTATTAGATGTGGGTTTCTTTTTGCCAAGGAGCCTTTCCAGGCAAAAATGATTCAGGAGACAAAAGGAAATAGTCTGGGTCACACACAGAGGTATGGACAAAGGCAGGCATGGGAAAGCAGCTGCTGTTAGTGATGGCAGCAGGCTCCAACACTGTCCCCACAGAACAATAACCTGGCGAGCAGGGGCAGGAGAGGAGTGAATCTGCAGTTATCTCCTTTCACTGCAACTGCACAAATGAAGATGTGCAAACCAGCACCCTGTGATCAGAGCTCGCCATGACTCACTGCAACCAGCCCGAGGTTGTTTCTCCACTGATAATCACAGCAGAACACCAAACCCAGCACTAAAATTAAATCAGTGAGATCCAAATTCACCCAGATCTGCATAACTTTTGACTCACACAGCAATACCTGTAACTGTTTTCAACAAAGGCAATGCGTCTATGTGAGTTTGTACATAACACACCCCAACTAAAGCCACAAACATGTAAATATTTGAGTTTGATAAAAACAACAGGGCTGAAAAGTCCGCTGTGAAACATGCAAGCTCCGAGACCAGGCTCTTGGTACCTCTCCCACTCTTGGTACTTCCTGCAGCAAGCATCGCTGAACTTCCTCTTTAGCTGCAGAAACCTACAGAACATGAAACAAGCCATTTTAAGCTGCTCGACTTGCAGCACAGTCCGTGTTCCTCAGGTTTCCAACAGAAAAGTGAGCCCATGCCTGCCCGACACAAGCTAAACGTGCAGGTAAGAATCAGCTTCAACAGGGAAAGCCTTAGTATTTGTCTGGTTTGGTTTGAAACAGAACTGGGCTGTCTGTGTCTGACCGCAGGGTGTGTTCAAGCTCTTGGGCAGTGTCTGTCTTAAAGGTATTCGGGTTTGGGACGCACGTTGTTTGATGCTGTTACTATGAACTATCATGAACTCCTATGATGTGACTTTATACTGGAAAGAGGGGAGCAGAATGAAAATTAAATGGAATCACTTTTACCTGTTCTAACCCTCCATGCGCTCCAGAAGCATTAACGCCCTGCTCGTGTTTTCACTGTTGCAGCTGAAATTTCACTCTGCATATTTGTAAACCCACAAAGATTTATGCATATTCATTTCCCAGAAACAGCCTCCCATGACTACCACTTGAGTAACTAATAAATGAGCTCAAACTGCACGGCAGTACCTTCACATAGAAACCCTCTATATAGTAGCTGCATTTTATCATTGACACAGAGACATTGAGAGACCTGAACTCTAAACAGTACAGGAAAGAGAAACCTGTGTCATGCCAACCACCTCACACGATCTTTGTTGTTAAAGAAACGCTCCCTCCCACATAAAGGGAGTTATTTCTAAAACCAGTTTCACATTAGAACATGGGTCCATTTCAGCATCGCTATTTGCAAACGTGCAAAAACTATTACACTGTACCCAAAACTGCTGAGGAGAGGCAAGAGCAGGAAATAGAAGTTTAAGAGAACTGTGAAGAGCTTTTACTTCAGTTTTGGCTTATATCCATCACAAGAAGACAGCCTTTACTCCTGACAACCCTGTTTGTCAGTGCTGCTGCAAGTGTTCCAGGTCCATAATCATTTACATGACTGATAAATGTTAGTTTGAAACAGTGGCTGGACTTCACTGCTGATGCCTTTTCCTGATGAGGTGAATAAAGGTTACAGTAACCAAGGCATTCTCTTCAAAAAAGGCACTTAATTACAGTGATCAATAATGCTGGAAATCTGCTTGTTTGTGAAGTCAGTGACAAGCCTGCTGCTGATGCAAATGGAACATGGGGTCTGACAGTGTTTTCACTATGACAGTATTAACAGAAGATTGTCTGGTGTCAGTGGATGGTAACACACTGATGCAATTCTCATGTTAATATGTTCTATTTCATCCCAGCTATAGAAGAGGACACAATCAAAGAGGCTGCAGGAAAACAGGCAGCAACCCGGTACTCCCGGTTCTCCTCTCTGGGGAAATCTGGAAATCCCTTTCTACAGCAACACCTCAAAACGTTTCCATGAATACAAGAAATGCATCCACCAGCATGGGGAGTCCAATGGAGGGCAAAGCTCCTCTGTACCCATTGCAAGCAACCAGAGCCAGTTTCCCCAAGGCTGGAGGAGCCCTGGCTGAAGCACCGGGTGTGACACCACCAGCTCAGTTCCCCGGAGCCCCCGCAGAAGACAGTGATGGAAGCTGGGTAGCAGCACTGATAATTGGCATCATTTTGATTAGTATGATAATGGCTATTGTTATAATCCTCCTGTGGAAATGCCGCAGGAGGCCAGGCCTAGCTTATTCGCACTGGGCTGGCCGCTCTCCCTTTGCGGATGGAGACACACCAGAGGTCCCCATGGACTCTGACCAGGCCACCAAACGTTCCTCTGCTTTATTTACGTTGCCTTGGAAATTCAAACAAGACCCGAACCTGCAGCAGGAGCTCACTGCCTCAGAGCAGCCACCCGACTGCACTACCTGCAGTGAGAATGGTGAACTGCCGCCACCGGCCGAGGACCACGCTGCAGCCGCTAGTCCAGCTTCCGACATAGAGGCACCTCCAACTCCCATCCCAGAAGCCACAGGCTGTGCAGGAGACTCCAGTCTCCACCCAGAACCTTCACATGACTCCCCAGACCTGCCCCCTCCACCAGACTGGCTCACGGAACCATAAGCATCATGGATCAGATCCCAGCAAGTACTGGGAATTTCATGCAGAACCACAGGAACCATTGCCCCCGTCACCTGAGTTACTTATTCAAGAGATTCACAACCACTGCCCCAGCCACAGCACCTTTTGCACAGTGCTCAAATTCATACTTCACGTTTGTCTTGAATGAGGTACTCTTCAACCAGCTGAAGAAAGGAGAAGTTGACGCCCACAGGAACAGGAGCCCCCAGCACAGGCATTTCCCCAGCGTTTCTTAACTTCAGCTTTCACAGAAGGCAACAACCTCCTCCTGACTGAAACAAACCATTTCAGAACACAATATGGGTTGTGCCCACTGGTTATCTGGGACCAGCAATTCCAGATGGTGGAGACCACAGCAACGGAGCATGCACACCTCTGTGTGCCAGTACACACATGTATGTAACATACACGGACATGGAACTTCCAAGAAAGAGTACAGCTTTAGAAGTACTTGGGGCTTCTAAAAATGGTTTGTTCTACTGGGCTGTGTAAGTGAATGCAGTGAATGTAAGTGAATTCTAATAAAGCTTTCTAATTCAAAGATGTTTTGGTCACATAAAGTACAACTGAGTATTTGCTTAGACATAAAGCTTTGAATTCAAAACCAAAGCCCATTTTCCATGTGTGACTGGGTAACGATGGCTTACAGCTATCATAAGTAAACCCTCTGAACAGCTGTTCTTTGCTAAAATCAATGAGATTACCTTTAGACCAAATATCACCAATAAGCTTTTGGATGCACCATCAACAATCCCATCACATTATGGTTGGGTAAAGCAGAGAATAGCGCGAGAAAACAGTTAACACAGTGGTCACCAACATGCTGAAATGGCTCCAACCACCTGAAGAACAAGCTCAAAAGGCTGCCTTATACCTCAATACTTCTGATCTTTATGGGTAAAACAGAGACATTTTGCAGAGCACTCAGTAAATGATTAGCAGAAATAGTTGTGCACATTCATTAATTTCTTCCTCTGGAGCAGTGTTTGCACTCAATATTCCTAATAGAGCTTTACAACTAATTTAGCTTGCGTGGATGCCAGACTCCTTCTAACTCAAGGTGTTTAAGTGTGTGACGTGCTCCTTCCTGGGCCCTGAGCACAAGCAAAGCTCACTGTCCCCTCTAAACTCATGGACTTTGGCACAGTGACTTTCTGGTGGGGGGCAGGAGGGTGGTCTCAGAGGTAAATTCATTACATTCCGTATTTTGTTAACCAGCACTGAATGTTCTGGTTTATGGAAAGAAGCTGCTAGGTGCTGAGGGCAGCTTTCCATGCCTGCCCTGCACAGTGGCAAAGAGTTTGTAGTTTTGAGTTTGCCTGGGGAGGGAACGTACTTGTGGATGTTGCACAGAGCACACGTTTGTACATATTATACCAATAAAGATTAAAACGTTTAAATTACTGCTTAATAATCAGCCTCACAAAGCAGATCCAGGCTGCTGTGCACACCATTGACATAGGATAAGATTCTTCTTACCATTTATATAAGCTGTGGGATTGCACATACCTAAAGAACAGCATCCCAATGACACAAGGATTTCAGGATTGTTGCATCGTGTTAGAATTAGCAGCATTATAAACTGTACCCACTCTTCCCACATTGTTTTGAGAGATTGAGATAACGAATTCCTCCAGAAATCTGCACAACCCCACAGGCTGGGGTGTTCCCTACCTGACAGAGCAGTGACAGACTGAGCTGAGGAGCACAGCATGGAGTGACTTAAAATTAGGGAAGGATATTCTGGCACAGCAGCATAAAAAAAGCTTCAAGCAGGAAGCCTAAATTACCACTAACCCTTGTTACAGGAGGAGGGGTTAATGGAAGGGAAAGAAAGATCACAACGTGACTTTTTAAATAGGAAGGGTTAAATGGAATCAGAGCTGGAGCAGAAGCAGCCGAAAGGAACTGCACTCGGTGCTGTTTCTGCAGGGATCTCGCATGTGCTGTGAGGCATTAACACAGCGTAAAACACAGAGATGGAGAAGTTAACTAACTGGAATTACAAACCCCATCCGTGCTGCTGAACATGCTCCCTTTGCACTGAAGAGAGTCAGCGCCAGCGCTGCAGTCCCCGTGTCGAGCAGATCAGGTGGTTGCAGAGCCCGGCCAGCAGCAATACGATGCAGCTGAAGAGGCACAACCCAGGCAGCAACTGGAGCTACTCTCCAGAACAAGGCGACCTCTAAGCTCCCATCTTTCCCAGGAACGATGTGCTGATATTGCAGAAGGATCCCGGTAAGTTGGGGCTTTTTTTGCCTTTAATCACAAAACCCTGCTCCCGAACCCGAGATGGAATAAGAACGAAATTCTCAGTTGATGATAGATGCTTGCACCAGAAATTTGCTGCAGCGTCAGAGATTTCTTACTAACATTAATTCAGCTTCCAAACATGTGTTACCAGCTTTGAGAATGTCATTACCACCATAATAAGGGAAAATAACAACGTACATGTGAGCATTAGCATGGAATTGGGGTTTCAGACTGAATTCCGAACAATTTAAGATGTATTTTTAACCAATTCTACTTAAGCAAACAGGATGCATGTATGGGGGGGATGCTACATTACTGCAGAGATTTGTAAAGCAGATCCAGTTGACAGCCATTTTTTCATCCTGTATAAAAGAACACATTATTCCAAACATAATATAGGCTTGAAATCACTAAAAACAAGAAGCAGACATTGTATAACGTTTGGAAGAGACTTGCATTTTCGGAAGAAAGCCCTCATTTGAGCTTGAGGGGGAAAGGGAGATGAAAAAACAAGTCTCATTCTGCCAGACAACATGACAGTCTATGAAGGGATGCTTTGTAAAGTCTCTCTTGAACAATTCTAAAAAGGACCATGCCACAAAGGGGTTTTTGATGTTTTTACTTCATTTCTCCTGCAAGTGGCCATTGCAGAGACAGCCCTTAACCACAAATAAAATACATCTACATGGATTTAAAGGGTGTCATTTTGGTATATTTGTTTTCAGGCAACAATGGAATACCAGATACTGAGTACATCTACCTGTCTGCTGGTCCTTCTGTTTTTCACACCCACTGTTTGGGGTATCTGTCCTTCTAACTGTACATGCTCAGGAAACGACAGGAATGTGGACTGTTCAGGCAGAAACTTAACTGTGCTGCCACAGGGACTTCAGGACAACATCACCTATTTAAATCTGTCCTTTAACCAGTTTGTAGATCTCGACCATCAGCTAACGAGATTCACCAATTTGAGGACCCTTGATATTTCAAATAATTGGCTCAAGAACATTCCTGCTCACCTGCCCAAGTCCTTATGGGAATTATATGCCATAAACAACAACATTAAAGTTCTTCAGAAACTTGATACAGCTTACCAGTGGAATCTCAGAGTGCTCGATGTTTCCAGGAATATGGTGGAAAGAGCTGTTCTGATCAACAACACCCTGAGCAGTCTCAAGTTTCTCAATCTCAGTAGCAACAAACTGTGGACGGTTCCAACCAATATGCCCTACAACATAGAGACCGTGGATCTATCCAACAACTTCTTGTCCCAGATACTTCCGGGAACACTGGTGAGACTACAGCACCTCACCAGCCTCTACCTGCACAACAACAAGTTCACGTACATTCCTGACAAAGCCTTTGACCAGCTCTTTCAGCTCCAAGTGGTAACACTTTATAACAACCCGTGGTCCTGCAGCGACAAACAAAACATCCCTTATTTGCTCAGATGGGTGCAAGGAACCGCGGCCAGCGTGGTCGGGGCTCCCTGTGCCAATCACTCTGTGCCCTGGGTGGATGCCCCACCGACATCAGCAGCTCCCAGAGGGTCAGACTCCGGCTCCATGATCCAAGGGATGAAGGCAGCAGACAGAGCTGCTTCTCCAGGGGCAAGCCAGATGCCAAAAATGCACAAACAGTTTAAAGCTGAGGAAGTCACCACCTTGGCGACCTCAAGCCCAACCATAGTGTTCACGAGCACAGATCGACCACTGCTCCTCTACCCAGAAGAGCTGACAACGAGGCAGGTCAGTTCTCAAGAAGCAGCAGCCACACACACTATCTACATCGGAGATTCAACTGAGGAGAACTCCAGCCTGACGCCTCCCATGGGATCCTCCACGACTCCTCTGACGTTAAGCATCACCAGCGGAATGCCAACAAACTACTCCAAAATGCCTCAAAGCACAACTGCTACCTTAAGGAAGGAGGAAGCCACTACAAACGTTTTGAATACTCACGTGCCCTCCCAAGCAAGTACCTGTGAGATGTGTCTGCTCTGTGTCGTGATGCTTAGTGCAGTGGCAGTGTTTATTGACTAAGAGCCTGTATCTTGTGAGAATCACTGAGTTTGTTCCTGTGATACATAGCTGGAGTTCAGACTTCCAGTTGAAATGATGAATCAAAATACAAGAAATTCAAGGTTCTGACTCTGATCTAGAGAAAATAACAGTTCTTAACTGAAGAAGTGCACATTAATGTCTTGATACTAAGCTGCTACTTATTTTAATATGTCTTAATTGAGTGCAACTAACTCATGTTTGGTTTTAAAGATGTGCTTATTTTGTAATTACATTTTTCATTTTACTTGCACAGAATAAACCATCCGAATTTTAAGTACTGATTTAATGTATGATTTTGTCATTACACAACTGGAAAAAAAAAGAAGGCCTGTATCATATCTGCATTGTCTTGCTTGACCTGCCAGTGAGCAACTCCTGTAATATAGCATCACAGATTCTCTGTAAGTTATGACGACATGCAAAAGGAAGGGAAAAAATAAAGGCACTAAACCTACTGTTCCACTAACCAGAAGCTATTCCTGAGAAAACCTGCTAGCATGTGTATCTATGTTTGCTTCATATGTATTAGCATATTTTAACTGTGAAGAACAACAGTTCTGAATTTAGGAATTAAATATGACAATGCCATGATGTCTGCTAAGAGGGTGTAAACTGAGAGGCAACATGGTCTAACTAAGCATGGGAAAAGTGATAGGGGCTGATACCTCTTTTTGCTCTGTCTTGACTTGGAGGCTGCAGGCAAGTTATTTCTCACTCTCCGTATTTAAAGAGAAAAGATAAAAGTAGAGGAAAACACAAGATGTTCAATGCCATGACACTCCAACAAGCAGGAGTTACCTACACAACTTAATGAACTGGAACTCCTTAACTTTATCTGAAGGTCTGAAACATTAATGTATTATGCTTAGAAGAACATCGCAAATCAAACTACTACTTTCTGATCGGTAAAATGAAATCTCAGCCAATTTCTAATACAAGTTATGTAACAAATCAATGAAGTGATTAGTTGTCACTGAAACAACCCTGGAATCTTTGAACAAGAACTGAACTCAGTCCATGGCCTTGAACATGCCAACCCCCTGCTTTCCAAGGGGGAGCATGAAAGCTATTCTCCCTGGCTCCTGCACCACCAGCGAGTAGAAATAGTTGCACGCATGGTCCTGTCCTCTCTAGGAAAATAATATAACTTACGTGGCAAAGGTACCCGATATGCTACAGATGAAGTTTTGCAAACAGCATGAACTGAAAACTGAAGAACAAGTTCATTGAAAAAGTATTATCCACCTAAAATCACAAATCTTTATACAACGTTTTCCATTCATTTCAGGCCATTTAATTTCCAGTTATTGTAGCATGAAGGTGCTGCAAAACCCAGGAAACCTCACTACCAACACTGGAGTCCTCTACCTTTCCTGCTGGGTGTCAATGAGGGCTGTAGACCATTTACAACCACTGGTATCAGAGAAATCACAACTTTCCAATTGTGAACAGTATTTCTATAACCAGAAATGTGTTTTAATTTCTAACAGTAAATGTTACACAATGAATTTGTACAGTTATTTCATTGGCATTTCAGTAAAAATAAAGTTACGTTTGTATTGAACTGATTTTGTGACAGTCCTTCTTTCCAAACAAGTGTGGCAGCAGCCCTGAACAGGTACTGGTTTATTATACAAACCCACTTCAGGAAGGCATTTGGCTCAATCTTCATTTCTTATGGGGGGAAATTGTGGTTAAATCAAATCATATTATTTGGATGCTGATCACAAATATCGTTTATTAGTAAGCTGATGAGTTAACAGTAACAGGTCTGCCCTTCCCCTTCCCACCATCTAGAACTTGCAAACACTTAAGGCATGTCTCCATCCCACAGAAAACGGAAGCTCTTTCTCCATCTCAGAAATGACTCTCAATGTTTAATAGAGCAGAAAACTTATAAAACCCCAAAGACATTTCATATACATTTTAACTGTACAAGAACTAGTTATCCAAGTCAAAGCTTAGACAACCTACACCACAAGCAGCTTGTGCATGATACCTTCAATGGCCAGCACAAGTGGCTACCGGCAGTGCAAGAGAGCTGCCCACTTGCACAAGTTCCATGTATTTTCCCTGGGATCAGCATTAAAAACCATCACTGCCGGGCACCCTCTTTGGACAATGTATTTGCCAACTACTGACTGGCTACAAACAGCATCAACCTACTTACTGTGTTGAGAACTAGGTATTTCCTAGAATTATCCCATCCATATGGCTTCATCCCACACAGCTTTGCTTGGAAGGTAGGACAGACATCACAAAATGAGGTGCTGTGACTCAACTGCCTCGAGCTGAGGAAATGACATCAAATACTCCACGTGTCTTTGCTGAACAATGCAATACAGGACAGCAAATTCTACTGCATGCAAAAATCCTGCATGGAATTGGCTTTAAAAGCTCTATGAATGTTTCACCCATAATGAGATGATTTAGGGAACACTATGAAAAAACACTGTTTTCCAGAAGGTGCTTGGGGCAAACTGAGTCCCCAGAATGGATGACTTCAAAGTCTTGAGCATCCTGCTCAAATCCTGGAAGTGCAAATGGGGCTGTGGGGTTTTCCAAAGGCACAGGATTTCCACACACTCAGGACTGGGAAGCTAGGATACAAAACAACTGCGGATGGGTTTCAAAGCAAGATGGCATCCCAAGTCCCAGGGCCATGCCCTCCACCCAAACCTTGCCTGGGTCGGTGCAAGCAGGAGGGCTCTTACTGAGACTGTTTTCAACAAAGCAGACTGCGATTTGGGTTTCCTTGTATTTTTCTGGAATACAAATGAGGTGATATCGGCACAGGGAGTGGGCTGGGAATCGTGGGAGTCGTGCACTTGTTGCTTGGCAACAGTGCAGTCAAAATGAAAGGAAACTGATGGACACAGATGTGAATCCGGTGCCACCGGGTTTTAAACACGCTGGTCAGCGACTCCGTGTTAAATACCAAACCATCTATTCCCAGCGACATTCCTTTTTCCAAAACCACCATTTAGCATTTCAGCACAACGTTCAAAACACCAAAAAAAAGGTCTGGCACATGGTGCAACAGCAACACGCTGCTTCTGAAAGGTTAAAATTGCTGCGGTCTGAAGCAATAACTCAGAGGTTTGTGTTCCTATTAATTAGCTGGGGATCAGCTTTAAAACTCCATGGAAGGACTTCAGGATCAATATTTATTGATCATTTTTTAACAGTGTGGAGATCAAAGCCAGGAGAACACCGGCTTCAGAAGCCAGGTTGTTGCCCAGGAAACAAAATGTGAAGAAGAAATGACAGAAGGAATTAAATTTCACAGCACAAGACGGGTATAAACCGATCCAGCGAGATCAGTGAAATGACTCAACAATGTCCTAGCAACAAGATCTCAATATACCCCCAAAAAACCCCACCAAAAACCCCCAGACTGCTGCCAGCCCTCAAACATACTGGCAGCTCCGATCCAAACTGTCCTTCCACATTTCACACCTTTAAACACGACGTCAGGCTCAGAACCACAAGACAAACACCACAAATAGGCACCACTTGGCCACATCCCTCTTAGTCGGAAAGATGACAAGGCACCAAAGATGAAGATGAAATAACTTATTTCGGGCATTTGCCTGTCATTTTTTATATGAGTGCTATCTCACTGTGTGATCAGCTCCAGTAAACTGATAATTAAAAAGTACTTTGCAGTCCTTAGTGTTTAATGTTCTCCTCTTCCAATTTTACACATATTGTCTCAACAGGCAATTTCTCTTCTGGATGTGTTTCACAGCCAAATTTCAATGTACACCCCTAACACAACAACACTGTGATTACTGTAGTTGCACTCAGCAGTTGGTGACATGATAAACAAGAGGAATCCTCCTTTATCATCTATACATTGGCTTTATTAGGGCCCATTAGTAGCTTGCCCAGACTTGGAAAGGTTTACTCTCAAGCATCTGTGTACAAACAGTCACCCACTGAGCTGGCACCTTTTTCCAAGGAATATCGCACACCCAAATCCCAATCAGCATTTCATGATGCTAATGGTCTTGTGCTATCTCAGATAAGGATGCAAACCAAAGAAGTTGAATTGTTTGTAAGTGAAGGGTATGAAGATACCGTTCATAAAACCTCACAGTTCTCATCATCAACAGCCCTTATGCATGATTATGTAAAGTAGATTCACCTGCACTTGATATTTGGCCAACACAGAAACCGTACTGTCACCAAAATGTGACAAATCATCTATATTCAGATTGTTTGTTACCAAGTTGGGGCCCTGTTCTTAAATACACTTGATCCTTTTGACTTTACATGCTAATTCCAGACAAGAAAGGTGAAAGATTGCTTACCGCCGAGCAATGTAGTAGAAGACAGGATTGCCAGCTTTCGATGTCCCAGCTTGGTAGAAAATATTTAATGTTTTCAGTGCTTTGAACTCCTCTTTTTCATGTACCTGATGCCTGAAAAGGAACACATTGACATCAGCTTCAACAACAGCCTTGTAAAAAATAACTATACAAAGAAATCCCAAACCCTCTTTATTTGCAACTTTTAAGTTCACCCAATCTCATTACCTCGTCATAAACTCTTCAAATTTGGAACTTGTGAGATTTAAACTGGACCAATGGGTGTCTGCCACGGGTTTGTGCTCAGGAGGACCCAAGTAGGCAAGAAGAGTCGCCATCTTGTCAAAAGGTCGTCTTCCAACAGCCTTGTGGTCCCTAGAAACAGCGTGTTACTTAAAAGTCCTTCTTTAATCATACACACACATCTATGGTTGCTTCCCATCAGCAACTCCCTTCACCATGGGTGTGCAGACTCACCTGTTGCTGGAAAGGTACTGGCCAATTTTCTCCTGGTTGTTCCACAGCAGCCGGTGCAAAGCCAGCACGTTGCCATCGCTGATGAAAGACAGGCTGTGATTGACAGTGTCACTCGCTGGGCAATCAGATGCAATGTCAAGGAAGAACCTAGAGTTCAAAACCAGTAATAACCATAAGCGTGGCAAGGAAATCTGCCAACAGGACTCAACGTCAGTTAAAAGGCTGGAAGAACATGACAGCCAACACTCTCTGTGCAAGTTCCCCCTAGGCCTTACCTTCGCGCTGCATCAAAATTGCTTTTTACAAAATCATTAAAAGGCCGCATATGTTCCTCTTTTGTAAACAGGACGTGGTTGGCAATGCTCTGAAGAATCTACATCATAAAAAGATGGTAAAGAGGTTGAATGTATTAAGTGTTGTGGTAGTTAGTGTAACTTCACTGTCAGAAATATTCATTTTAACTTGCTGTGAAACCTCAGGACAAGAAAAGACCAATAAGCCAAGTAACCCAAAATATGTTCACTTGCAAAGTGTTTTCTTTCAAATACTTTTAATACTAGAAATTTACTTCCCTCATTTATAAACCTTATTTGGGTTTAGACAAGGAAAATAAAACACCTTTCAAACCCATTTATTACACGTTAACTATTTCTTCTGGAAATGGTGCAGACACTTACAGGCAATGCCTATTTAAAGAAAACTGTAAGTTCACAACATTAAATGGGTGATATGCACGGAATTCGTACTCCATCATTACACCTTTTTTTAAATTTCTACAGGAAACCCCACCAAATGTGATTAAAGATGGGAAAAATCACTTCCTTGGCACCAGTATGAACCTAACCGATAGCTGGCTGCTATTATTCTCGCTGTGCTCCAAGTAACATTGGTTTCTGATCTGAAGCAAGGTGAGAAGCTCCAGTGAGGAGCAGAAGGCATTCTGTCACCTTACACAGCATTTTGGCAAAGCAGCTTTTTCCATACAGTCTGTTCCCCATACTTACACTGCTGTGAGCTGCAATGTTAATGTCATGACGTATAAACTCAGTAGGGACTCTGCGCTTTAAGAGAACTGGGTGGCTGCTACAAACAGCTACAAGTTTTACCTACTTGCAGGTAGTCACAGTGGTCAAAGAGCAGAACTTAACCAGGTAGAACAAAACGGCCAAACAAACCCATTCATTGATTCACCTTTGACATCAGTTTCAATCCCCTTTCAATTCTTGGTGGAGGCTTTTTATCTAAAATCCCTGCCTCGTAAGGGGAGACGATGGCAGGGTTGATGAACCGGAGGAACATGGCGCTTCCGACGGCTCCGATGCTGTTCTGAGGGAACCGCTGGCTAACCACCTATGAAGTTGAGAAGTACAAACAATATTTCTGCGTTCAGGAAAAGGGAAAGCAAGCTGAGCAAAGCCTCGCGGGGAATCCAGCTTTTAGCACTCTTGCCACATGGATCAAGCTCAGTACATTTGTGCAGGGCTCTCCTGCCTTGACAGGTCTGGATCACAAGACAGCCAGATCAGGGCAACAGGGCACTAAATGGCTTTACTGCAGCTTTCACCCACCGTCCTTGCTAGGGTGAAACTGCTACAACAGCTACTGGACAAAGATAAGGTGTATTTCAGTGTTACAGACCCTTAATTCCAACACCCTACCACTGACAGTACAGCAGACAAATGCTGTATGCTCGTACTTGGGCTACACAGTCTTCCCATCAAATAGAGACAATTCTGGTTTACATTAGTGGGTCTTTTCTCTGTGTATTTATAATCTCAGCACTGCTGCAAGAGCCTCTCCAGCAGCCAGACCCATTGTAAAGCTTCAGGAGGAATTTCAAATGTTGGGGAAGGAGATCTTTGTAGAAATACTCTTCAGAACCATTACATCTCAACAGATTTGCCAAAGGAGGAAAGAGATTGAGCCAGAGCTGCATGGCCAGTGCTCTACTCTGCCAACACTGTCCAACATCACCTAGTAGGAATTTGATAGAAGAACTACAGATTTAAAATATCATTCTTTGCTATCTAGGAAAATAAAATAATCTGAAAATGTTGTAAGAAAAGAGAAATCTCCTTTATTTTTAGGATACCAACTACGTATTACTAAGAGGATGATCTATTTCTAGGTATCTTTCATTTGACTTTGGAAAGTTAAAGATAAGCTCCCTGATATTTTTAAATGTACTACATGTGGTTCCAGAATGGTCCAACATTTATATGTGAATTTTCTTATGAGCAACAACAGTTAATCAAAACAAGACAGATTCTACCTTTCACAGAATAAAATTAGCAGGCTTTGTAGTTTAGGTTATATTGTTTAAGACAAATAAAAACCAAACCCAATTTTACCGAAACACTTCAACACATAAGTAGTGCAATCTCAAATCATGCTTCTTAAAACAGGTAAAGGCATTAGTATATAGACTATATATCAAGAATCACTTTGGTTCCATAGGAGCTTCATTCAGTTACCTTGTGTTGCAATTACTGATAATATTCTCTTGTAAAACACTACTTTGCACACAGATTTTGCATTTAAACATGGTTATTATTCTGTTCAATTACAGCAAAAAATAAGGGAGCATTTAATGAAAGTCTGAATTTCCATTCTGCCTCTGTTTTATTCATACTTTTTATTTTGAGGTCACTGTCAACAGCTAAGTCTTATCTTTTAATGACACCGCTATCACTATCTGTGTATCCAATCTCTCTCAGCCAGCAAGGTGCTGATCCTGGGAAATCTGCTTTTCTCTGTAAATAAATACAAGCGCTGAATTTTATTGCTCAGTCACAAGGCAAACAAAATTAAATGTATCAGAAACAAGTCATAAAAAGCTCTTTCCTTTTCAGTAAGCCATATGCATTACTTGTTCTTCCCCCAGGAAGCAAGCTGCAGTCAAGTTATCTGCCAGAGTGTTAAAGCAGGCTCAGATTTTCCCCCAAACGAAAGAGAACATTTTTCTTCCGCATTTTTTGGTAATTTGAAGACGGTGGCAAGGGCAGAAGAACCAGAGTATTAAACACTAAGCAGTCACGTTAAAATGTCTCTTGTTTACTCAAATAGGCACACAGAGAATATTTTAAATATAACTTAATTCCAGTGTTAATTGAAATGAAAGCTATTTTGTGCCAGAATTAGTAGAATGATTTTACAGTGAGGTCAAATAGACTGAAGTGAAGATGTTCTGAACAAACAGCAAAAGGTTTCCGTTGTGCTTTGAAAGAAATGGCTAAGAAAAAGGTCTCCAAACTTACTGATTTTTTGTTTTCCTTTTTTTCTTTTACGGTAGCTTTATTCAGTAGAGAGTGGCAAGTTGCCTACAGAACAGAGATGAGCACAAACAAGTCACAGCACCAACTACATACAGCAACAAAAAACCAATGTTGACTTGTACATAAATTACACAGTAAAATGTAACAAACATAACCAACAGAAAATGAAATATATCAACTAAAGACTGATGATGGAGTTTTTATTCCACAATTTTATTACATCTTATTTACAAAGCACTAAATACAAAACAAGCAAATGTTGCGTTTCAATCATTTCTACTATTTCTGGCTAGATTAAATGTCAAACCACATTAATGTGCTCATGATACACGATATTGGGCATTAAATGGTATATTCAGCTTTCAAATGTATTTCACCATCCCCAAATAGTGTTAATAGGAAAAATAGTAAAGCGTTATACCTTTGAAATACATATTACTTTTAAAATAAATTTAGAGTTTTAAATCTTCCCAATGTTTCTCTGTGTGTCCTTCAATTTAGTGAGATCTGAATCGTCATGGTTATTACTACTTTGATAGCTAAACACTGCCACAAAACACTCTGTGGAAAAAGGAAGAAAAAAGCCAGCGGGGCTACATTAATTTATTAGAGATTTCCAAATCAAGGTATCCGACTGTTTCATTGGTGCTTAGTTCTGCATTGCATCTAAATGTAAAGGGACCCACCAAGAAGCATCACACTCTCTCATTATTTCCCATCAGGATTTGAGCAAAGCTATAGACCACCAGCGCTGGGCTCCCCTGCTCAGAGGTATGTTCTGGCCTCTGTGCCTGATCCCACATCCTCCCTAGCAGCTGTAACAGTGAATTAGCACCCCTAAGCAAGCAACACCTCTAGCAACAGACAGCTAGCCATAGTGAGCAGTTTGAGAGCAATAGTTCAAATCACCTTTAGAATATCACATGGAATGGAACCGGAAGAGAATTTCTACAACTTTAGAATGTGACAGAGTAAAAAGAAAGGTGGGTTGGGAGTGTGAAAGCTAGCCAGGGCCAGCTCTGCTGCTAACCCCGCTACATTAAATAGCTCCAATTTGTGCAGGACCTATTAATATTTAATCAAAGGTGCCTCTGCCAAATTTCTTTGTGCAAGCTCTACAGAGCTAGCTCTGATCAGTCGTATCCATTCTCTATCCATTGGCTACTGCACTGGAAGCAAGTAGAATTTCCCTCTGTTAAGAAAAATCACATCTTTTTGTGTGGGTTTTATGAAGCATCCAGCACAAATTCTTTGTACGAGTTACTGGGATCAGGCTTGTTCATGACCACATAACTCTCCTGTACGTACCTTACCTGAGAATGAGCCAGGGCACATCTGTCACAGTAACTGTTACATGATGTTCCCAGATGAAAACAGGGCTCTGTTCTGCTAACGGAAACACCCAGTGTAGGCCCAATATCCAACTAAATGAACCACTGCCATGCTGTTACTATGCTAATTAAAATTAGCTACAAATCAGTTACAGAACACACACATTTACTTTAATAATCCAAGTGTAAAAGACACCACAAAATTCAGTCTCATTTAGACTTACACTATTGCTTGGGATGGCACACGTTCACCGTACAGAAATGAAGTTACCTTATTAAAATCACCTATTTGGTTCTTAAGATTAAAAATAGATTAATACCCACAAAAAATCAGATTTCAATTGTACTTTCAGATAAAGCTCAGACTCTTCAAAACTCTGGAATTTCAAAGTACAGAATAATTGATACACTATTTGTATACAAATACAGGTGTTACTAGAAACAGTAACATGTGTTGAAGCTAAGCATCAGTTAATACCACTTGTATATTTACCACTAAACCACCTCTTTCAGGAACAAACTATCCTTGTTACCAATAAAAAGTAAAGCAAACAGACTGATATGCTTCCATAGGACAACCTCTGGCAATGCCACTGGTGAGTACCTTTTAGGAATCCCATTTCATGTAGGAATTAAAAATGGTTTGCATAGAAAAGAATTTCTAGCAATGTATCCCTGAAGTGGAAATAAAGTTGATACATCCCAGCATAGAAAAGCAATTCTAGGAACAGACATAGGGATAATGGAGCATCAAGTAACAGAAGCAACACCCAAGGCTGTGCGTGACATCTTCAGTAACACTCAAATATATTCCCAGCCAATGCCTGTGATACCGTGGCCATCTGAACTTGAAGGAAACCAACCTCACCCCTCATTTCCCAGTTTAAAACAAAAATAAATCCTAAGAAACCAAAATCACCCCAAACCAACCTGAACCCAGCCACTGGCAGGAAAAGAAACTGATGACATTAGAAGCCATTTAGACAACTTATACTGGGCACGTCACTTACATGCCCAATTCATTCCAGCAGCTCACAATAACAACCCAAGATCCACAACAGTCACCACACAAAATTCACTGTTTCCCGCTTGTAAGTTCTGAGAATTACAGCAGTTGTATTTATTAATACAGCTTCACTGTAAGAATACAACCAGACTGCCCTGGGTGGAATTTTGTTATTGCTCACAATGAGTTCACACAGCTCTGAAAATCTCTTTTCCTTGCTTCACCTCAGACCTGAGATACAGACTCCATGGCTGAAAGGCCAAAAGCAGCTCTTCAGACCACTTAACTGAGACCACAGCTCAAATACAATGCCATGCACAGCTCTCCTCTAAGACCCTCCAACAGGACTAGAAGTTGTATTTCCTATGAGCCCTGAGGGCAGCAGGAGTATTCCCCACTGGCATTTTTAGCAGCAGCTAAACCCATCAGAAACACACAAAGAACAGACAGACCTGTAAGTGTTCTGGACTCAGCAACCTGCTCCTGAGCTGCTACACAGAGCAACAGGAGCGAGACAGAGCAGAGTCCCTATGTTTAGATCCCTGCTATTTAACAAACATCTGAAAATAGTCCTTAACAATGACACAATGCACCCAGTACTGGCCCAAGCTCCAAACTGCTACAATGACAAGAGCAAAGCCCAGGGGTTGGGGAGGCACCCAGTGCCAGCATACCTGGTACAAACAATGGCACACACTGCGGAGCTGTGGTGGGAACTCGGAAGAGGAGTTAATGATGGCATGGAAAAACTTTTCTGTCATTTGCAAGAGACTCCTCTGGTTCTCCTCAAGGCTCTCCGTGGGCTCCAGCCTGAAACAGACCCACACATGTATGGCCAGCAACCAAGCGAATGATATTAGCTGTACTTATGTTTGGTAGTAACTTATTTCCAGGGTAAACAGAAATCTTTATAATCTTTCACACACAAGTTTCCATCAGTATTTTAAACCACAAATTACAAACATAAGGTCATTTAAAACTCAGCAACAACCAGGCAGCTCTAAGTGGGATTCTCTCACACTGTTCCATACAAAGACATGCATAACATAACCCCAACTGATAACTGCATTATCAGTTTGACGATGGTTTCTCTGAGAGCAATTCTTGAGGTAGACAGATATTTGAGAGTTAACTATTAATAGAAGGCCCGGCTTTTGGTAAGCTACTTCAAAGACAAATACTTAAGAGTTATCCCAGCAGTTAATTCAAAGCAACAGAGCAGCAGCTGCTGAATGCAAGTCTTGAAGTGACAGAAGAGAAACTAAAGCAAAAACACAACACACAACATGCATTCATTCCATCTTGCTTCTGTAATTAACTCAATGACTTAAAGCAGATGCTTTCTGGTACTGCAGGAAATCCCCATATTGGTGTCCTACATAAAAGCATGAAGTAGCAAGTAAAAGAGGCCCTGCAAGAGCTCTCTATCTTCCTTACTCTCTCAGGGTTTAGAGGACATGCAGCAAAACTCATCCTGCTTTGTTGGGCAGCTCTGGGTATAAGGATTGCAGATACAATTATGTGTCTGGTAAAGTGAGGAGTGGAAAAGTATAACAGTATGAGAAAAGTATTAGCAATGAGGAAAAAGGAATCCTCTTATATTTCCAATGCCTGGGACTCATGCTTACAAATACATCTGCTCCCCCCCTTGAATCTCAAACCTTGTTGGATCCACCTCAAAGCTAACATGCTGCCATTCAGAGGATGTGATCACAGTCCTTAATAAAGGCTCCAAAAGCTTCTGCAGATACGTAGCACCATACACCTGCGCAGAAAGAAAATTCGAATGGGTGCCAGGTTAACATCAAAATTCACAGGAACACTCCACAATTCTGTGTTAAAAGAGCCTGAAAACACTCGATTTGCTTTGGCACAAGCCAGTTTTCTGTTAAATTGGTGTTTCTGTATCATGGTTTCCCTTCTGAAACAGATCAATTTATACAGTGGTAGTTTTGTATTTTCACATTACTAAACTTTTCCTGTCACTGAGGTGATCTGTAGCAGGAGGAAGATTCGATAACTCACCTTAAAACAGAAAGTCATTATTTTACTGGCTAAGCTGTTTCCTCGGAAGAGTGTCTGCATGGAGTCCGCTAGCTCAACTTCCTTTGAAAACATATTCCAGAGGAGCTGGTAGAGCAAGTGCCGGGAATCAAAGAGTGTGACCAGGACACGAGCTAGCTCATCCTTAAAAGAAGCAATGAGATGTTAACCTGACTAGCAGTGAGCCAGGCCAAGTACAAAACAAAGAACCAAGACAAAAACACTGAGCAGTCTGTATTAATGCATTACATTTGCTATGGAGTCTTGCATACAAATATCAAACTAAGCACACACAATCTCTTTAAATCTCTCCTCTGCTATTGCTTGTCTACAAATCTGCCTCATGATATTAAGTCATGCAAATTCATAATGGTTTGCACAGAGAGATAAGCAGTTATTCCGCTGCGTAACAAAGCCCAATTCATCTGGCTAAAACCCAGAGGAGCAAATACAGTTCTGTTTGTCTGCATTACAGCACATACTAACTGTACTAGATAACCAGCCCAAACAAATGCATTTATTATAATAACTGTGTATAAAATTATTCCTAGGCGTTAACTAGAAGTTTACTATAAAATGCAGCTTATAACCAGGACCCGACAATCAGATCCAGTACTCTTCTAAAGCAGGGCTATCTATAATGCATGGTAGATCTAACCTCTTCAGCAGACTGTTGTTACACCTTTAATAATTGCATTATTTTTTATTTCAAGTCTTAACATTTTCAAAAATGTAGGAAATAAAATGTGTGAATCAACTTACCCACTGAGAACAAGGCACCACATTGGCTAAAGCCATAGCAATAGGAAGCTCCCCCTGATCACCCATCATTGTAACCAACTCCACCAATCTCTCAAACCGATCTGCTAGCACTGTTTCTGCTAAGGTATCAAATTCTGTTCCCTGCTGCAGAATTTTGGTGAGGACTTCCATAAACGTAGCTCTTGTTTGGAGGTCTTTATGATAGCCCAAGCCTGATCAAAAAAACCCAGAACTACTAAGGAAGATGTAAAAATAAATGAAATACCAATGTCTTCATTATGTATTCATTTATACACAGTGATCTGTAACTACTTTACCTATTGAGTGCATAAGACCACTGTCCACATTTGCATTGAGTAAGTTGGACATAGCAAGGACAGTGCAGTGCCGGAGCGAAGCCAGTCTGCGAGACATCCCACGTTTCCTGCCTCCTGTCTGTGCGCTTTCATCTTCAACTTCACTGCAGTCATTGAGAAGGTTCATGAACAGCGTGAAGTACCTAAGGAAAATAAGCTGGATAAGTAAAATAGATCCTGCAAAAGCAACTGTCTGAAATGATGTGCATACAGGAGCAAATACACAACAAGACTCTCTCCCCAAAAATCTCCTAACTGCCCCAAGCAATCTTTCTTGTATCAGAGTCCAAACTTTCAGATGTGAGGTATCCACCAGAAGGCACTGTCCTAGCGTGTATGGAAGTGTTCTCAAACCAAGCAAGTGAACTCCACAGGTGTGCCTTTACAAACAGATGTCTTGTAAGAGATGGTTTCATGGTAAAAATAGAATACCAAAGCAAGCTAGTCCCTCCAGGAAATAAGCATACACCTGCATTAAGCAGAAAAAAAACCCAATTTTATCATTATTTTCTAAATGAACTTGTTTGCATAAACCCAGGAGGCAGAGATTTGTGAGATGGGATATATAGAAGAGAATTCCTGTTCAGATAATGGAACAATCTCTGCTATAAGAAAAATCATAGCATTCAGTAAGTGTCACGCAGTGCATGTACTTCATGTCATTGTACAGAAAAAGAGTTCAAAGCCACTATTTACTTAAGGAATAACTGAGATTTCGCTTCCATCAACTCAACACCATCTCCTTCTTCAGGCTGTAGTGGAAGCCCAGCAAGGAGAGAGACCACTGCTTCCATGCTTGCTTGGTCCAAATCTCTGAAAAAGAGAATTATAAGAAGCTGTGAATCAGTTCAGCAGAATTAGTCTCTCCTCCCCCTTGATAATTTCCCCATCCAGTACCAAGTCTTTTTTCCTTATATATCCAACTGTAGGTGAAAAGAATCATTAAGAATGAAGTTATTCTAGTAAAGTTCTGTCCATCAGGAAAACAGCTATTACATTTTGTGGTACAGATTCAAGCAATGTATCTCCTAAGGACAATAACTGCGACACAAATTTGCCACTGAAAAAAACCCAGTTAAGTACAAATTCAACACTATAGTGTTTGATGATTTTATTCAGAGTGCCTCAAATGAAGATACAGCAAAATAAAGCATTCAGTCCTAATGCTAAATCAGAAAGGATATTAAAAGGAATTAAATAAACTCAATGGTTAAAAAAAACAAAACAGAGCCATAAAAACCTTAGTTAAGACTAGCACTAAATATAATTCTGCCGATGCTCTCCAAAACTTATGTTTCTGGCTTTTTCTTTTCCTTCCAATTACTACCACTTATGGCAGTCCACATGTGCCAGCTCCTCTGTGGATCTGAAATGCCACCTGGAACACTGCTAGCAACGTTAGGAACAGTTTAAGTGTATTCTTTCTTACCTTGTCAAGCATTTCACATCCTCATCTGTTGCTTGATTAGATGTTCCCATAACCCAGTCTGTCAAATACTCGACCATTTTGTTCCTGTTATATACAGATACATTGCTTTAGATTTGGAGGAGGCTTAGTTTTGTTTTTAAATAGCCCTTCCCTCAAACACACTCACTACTGCTGGCATCATTCTTAATTATCACAAGTTCAGTGCAAACTGAATGACCCCACACACTGAAGATGAACTGATTTTATTATACCAAGTAATTCCCCAGTCTGCATCACACACATTTTTACACGTGTTAAGTATCTCCACAATCAGAATAACATTTTAATGCAGCACCAGGCTCTAAGTTATTCTGAAGCCAGAGACAGGGAAACTACCCCTATAGCAGGAAGAGGTGAGAATGGGTTTGGTTTATATTTTTAACCATATAACCAAACACAATTACACTTGTCCACCTTACACTGTCCTAGAAGATGCATAATGCAATCAATACCTACCTAAATTTCATTTCTTGGCAAAAGGAAAGGTCATCTCTCCTTTCCATCATTACTTCTACTAACTGGCAGAGCTTAGTTTTGATTTGAATTGCATGCACCAGATTTCCAAGCACACGCACATACCTGGAGAAAAAAAAGGCAAAGAGAGTAACGAAATACTTAATGCTACTTCACACTCCAAGGCTCACACTGCTGATAAATCTCTTCAGCTCCATGCTGGAACCTGCAACCTGGCTGACCCAGCAGATGTGCATAATCACCCACCAAGTGTTTGGGCCACCTTTATTTTTGCCCTCCCAGAAAACCAGGCCCTGTATCAACAGAAGACAAGCAACAAATTTCATCTGGCCAAAGAAGTTTTCTGTTCGTGTAAGACTGGGCAGAAATCCACCCTTCAGCTGGTTTTTAACCACTACCAGCACTGTACAGAAAGGAAACCAGGAATGCTACAAGAACTACTTTGTACAGGAAGGTGGACAGGATTTCTTACCTAACCAGATTTAGCATCATTGTCTCAATACTAGCTTGTCCAAGGTGTTCTGAGCTCCCTTCTGTGTGATTGTCAAGCAAATTCTTCATTATAGCAATAGTCTGCTCTACAAATTGGGTGTTGGTCTCAGTTAACAAAACCTACAGAAAGAAAACGCTGGTCTTAGTTCTTTACACACACAAAAATAAAAAATAAAGGGTACTAAATACACTGCAGCACTGCAAAAATCTCACGTACAAGCATTTTCTAGTTACCACCTAGCCAAAAGAATTCCAATGCGTGTCAAGACTAAGTATGTCAATACTAGCAGCCATAAAGACTCCAAGAACTCTCTCACAGATTCTGCACTCCGAGTTCACTAAGAATTCAAGAATGCTTTCAATTACTCCATGTTAACCATAGCTTGGAATCACAAGCACAGTAATTATTAATGCACGCTGCAAAATTCAATCCCAACGCTTGCAGGTCTTTTGTACAGAACACCAATAGGTTTCAGTGTCAATTCCTAAGTGAAAGACATGACTGATGCTTTTAGTTAAGACACAAATGAGGAGGAATATATCAACATTTTACCTGTCCTTGAGAATCAAAAAACTTGCTGATGGTGTTCTTCAGTTTGTTAAACAGCATTGGATAAAGTGCTGGACTCAACTCCAAACCCACCAGATCTTTAATGTTAGTCCGTATCTGAAGTCCCACTTTCTCGTGGTTACAGACCATGAGAGTCAATAACCTATCAATGAACTTGCTGACAGGAGTCTCTGTGTTTCCCTCGGTGGACACCATGGATATCATGGAGCCCTTGCGCTCATTGACCGGGCCCATGGGTGGGCTGTAGGTGGCCAGCCCTGCATTGCTGCGGTGCTGCAGGCACACTCCTCCCAGGGCACATAAGAACCCTGTCATGTTGATCCACTCCTGAAGAGAGTCTGTGTCAGACAAGTCTATGGAGCCTCCCCCACTGACATGCGACATTCGTCTCTTCACAATTGTCTTATGAAGACTTTCAGTAACCTGAAAGACAATGGCAGGAGATGAAATGTCTTCAATTAATAAAAAACCAACGGAGAGACATCAGAAGTTTAAAGTATTCTGTGACACATCCTGCGTTTACAATTCCAGGCTTTCTGAAGATTCACATTTTGCAGTTTACTGTAACAGCAGAACAGAGATCTACACAGAGGCTCTGCTTATAAACAAGCTGACAAAGCAAGGCTGAAAGGGACTAAACGGGTTGCCTGGTCAATCCCCTGCTCTGCACCCAGATAGTGTGTTTAAATCATGATAGGCAGCAGCTTGTTTAAAACCCTCCAATGAAAGGGATTTCACCATTTCTCTAGTAGTAGTCCAGAGTTTTCACTACTCAAATTTTTAAGCTCAGCCTCCACCTCCCTTACAGCAACTGAAGTCAAATTACTTCTTGGTAAGCACAGTCAATGACCGCTTGCAATTATTTTTGTGGGGCACTTTCATGGAGTCTGCCTACAAAGCTCATGTTCTAGATTCAAATCTAGCAAAATAAGCAAGCTTAAAGAGTTACTGTGAAGTTCTAGGGGTTGAAACTATGGAAAAGTTCATAGTCACCTGCCCGTCTTCCATTTTGGTCTTTGGATAGTTAAGGATCAGTTTTGTAGCTTGTTCCCATTTTGCATGTGTATCCTCCCAGGCCTAAAATAAGAGGAAGACTGTGTCAAGATTTAACTTCAAGACCACTTGCAGCAACAGTATTTTCTGTTTTCAAGAAATATGCATGCCAAGACTACATCAATTCAGAAAAGTTACCTCTGTGTTGCCTGCAGTCGGATGCTCAATACGCCTCAGTAACGCCATCACTCTCTTCTGAAGAGCTGCTCTCCCTGCAAAGGGGCACAGTACATTTAACCATGATTTTTAAAAACCCACCCACATCAATTATGAGATCTTTAGAAGTAATAAAAATTCAATTATTAACAGAGGAACACATCCCCTTAACGTGTTCAGAAAAGGATTCTTCTTGTTACACGTTAAAATCTTGAACTCAGTCACCCAAGTTCCCTGCTCTTTCTAGCGACTCCACTGATTAAGATATTCCAATGACAACAGGAGCAGCAATCCACTCAAGAATCCCAACCTGTTTAAAGCTAAAACACAAACAACAGTCTCAGCACACAGGTACAAAGGTATTTCACTGGTCCGTGACTCTTACCTGTTGACATCATATTGCTAACAGATGCGAACTCCATGAAAGTATTGTAGTTTGGCAAAAAATTATGCACAGAGACTTCATCTACCCCACATCTGATATCAGCTTCCTCACAGAGGTGCCGGAAACAGGACATTGCAACGAGCACTGCCTCGATGTCCGGGCTCCACAAGAACATGTACAAGGCGACTTCCAATTTTGTTTGGGCTTGGCGACAGATGGGAGTTCCACTGCAGCCTGCTGTGCTTTCCTTGGGAAACAGAGAATTCAGGATTTGGTAATATTCCTTATGAATATGGCACCTTCATTAAAATCCAGTTTTATCCAAATTGTTCTTTAAAACTGCTTTTATTCTAGCAGGAACAAGCAATCCTAAACAAGACCAAAGCCCTTCCATGCTGCTGCACGAATAAACTGGCTAAGAACTTGCTCCTTTCATAAGGATAACCATATACTTTGGAAAATCTATTGGAAAAGACCACCTTAAAAACCAGAATTAGTATTTTTGCTCATAAAAAGATGTGCTAAAACTAGCAGGAAAAATTAGGCTCGAGAAGCACGTTTGTCAAAGGGTATACCTTATCAGATACTGGATTTTGTGATCCTTTACAGTACTGCACACAGGTTTTCCTCCCCAAGTGTTAAAAAGAATTATTATCATATCTTACTCACCATGGAAGAATTCCCTTTCCCTTTCCTGAGGGTAGCTCCTGGAGTACAGCGTATCATCTCTTCATGGTCAAGAGAAATCTGACTAGTTCCACCTCCAGAGACATCGTAAAGGAAGAGGAAGTGGCAGGAACTCCTGTCTGACTGCTGCGAAGAGAGGGAAGAAAACAATAAATCAACATCGTTTTTTGATGGATTTCAGGAAGGAAAAGCTCTTCACCATTTACACAATACTTCTAATGCTGGTGCTCTCAGGGATTTATAAAGTTACCCATATTAATGTATCTTAGAATGATATTATCCCCCTAAGAAATTATCTGGAGAGTCATCTTCAAAAAACATCACCTTGAGGTAAGCACACAATGATGCCTTTGCCTCCTGAAAGCCCTACAGGCTTCTTGGGCTTACTCTACAGAACACATGCCAACATAATGATAATTTAGATGTAATTAAGTCTGAAGAAGCCAAGCTCAGCAGTATTGTACATTTCATTCTACACATTCTATATCTGATCAGAAAAGCAGGAACTGACACAGATAAATGTTACCATTTCCTTACTTTGTTTTTTAGAAGGAATTTGTTCCTACAGATGAGAATCTCTCGCAGCCATTTGAGGATTTCTGTACTGCTCAGCATCTGATGACTAGTTAGCTTCTTGCAGATATAAAAAAGCATTTGTGAACTGCAGCAAAATGAAACTCAGCATTAGCTTTATAATCTAGCAACAACATTTGAAGATATTATTACATTTGACATAGAAATAGGCAATTATCACAAATATCCTATACGTATACTAGCATCATGTTTTACGATGTATAATAGATAGAAGATAGGTGTGTAGCTTAAATGAGAAGCTCCCCTGTGACCCTTCCCACCGCCCAGCTGTCTCTCCAGCTCCCTAGAGGAAGTTAAGCAATTTGGGTACTTGTTAGAAGTCCGGACTCCAGGGCTGCCGCTTCGGAATCCTCCATTTATCCCCAGAACAGATACAGCACAGACAGTGGCAGTACAAGTTTACCTACACTGCTCTGACAACGTGTCTCAACTCTGTTCTGGAAGGAACACATCTAGGGATGTTCCTTCTTCATATCCATTCAGGCCTCACACTCTCTGTTAAAACTGCCAAAGGGTCCAAATTAGTGTCAATTTTAATGGGTGTTTCCCCCAGCCCGAGCAGCACAAACTCATTCCTACTGCTAGGAATTAGTGCCATGAGGTCCAGCTATTGCCCATCTACACAGGGCTCAGCCCCAAACCTATCCCATAACAAGCCCCTTGAGCCACACTCAGCAGTCATGCAGGCCCATTTGCTGATGCTGTGAGAGTTCCTCCTAGGCTGTTGCTCCCTTTCTTCTAACTCAAACACCAGTACCAACCAGATTAGATCATCAATCATTATTATTATTCAGCTCATGCAATTCTTAGCATTCTGAGCTTACAGATTCCTAGTTTAGAACTTAAATTTCCCTTAATATTCCCCAAGAAATAACTGCAATAGCTGCTGTGAAGTTATAAAAAGTTCTTTAAATACAAAGGAAAGACAAATGGAGATCTTGGATCAGCACAAGCTACTACTTTCTTTAGGTGAGGGCTTCAGAGTCAAGATCAGCAAATACACACTTACAGAGCCAGCATAAACTCCCTCAGCCCCCAAAGAATAAAACAGAATTTAAACAAGTAGTAAACACTTGAATGAGGGGGAAAAATCTCTGACTTTTCAAACTAATCATCATTTGGGCACCTTAACATCAGGCTGAAGGGTCATTCTGTAAACCAGCAGAATGTTTCCTCTTTCATTTCTGTTAGATTCATATAGCACAAGCAAGATACTTTTCCACGAATACACATAACAATTTTGACTGCAGATTCATGCTGATGTTGCAGAGCTTTCCCAAAACACTCTCAGCTATTTCAAAAGAGAAGACAAATCAAACCAGCCATTCTCTAACTCACACAAGTTAACTTACATACCTAATTTCCCAGAATGTCTCTATAGGTGCATCAGGATTCCACAAGTCGATGCTGTCTAACTGGTGAAGAACTAGCAAGGCCTAAATTCAAAACAAAGTAGAGCTTCACTTAAAAGGTAGATCTACCTTAAAGAAACCTTCGAAAGAATCAAGACTGAACAGTACACTGAAATCAAATTACATAATGGCAGGGACTGTTCCATCTCTAAGCTCCTGTGAATGACTGTCAGGATGTTACTACCCAATGTGAACTCGCACAGAGACTTTCACACTGAAAAGCATTATTCTTATACAAGAAATATTCTTGAATTCTACCATTAAACTATCAAGAATATGTACTTCATATATTGATAGGTAATAGAATATTGACGCTATTTGTGGCAATTCTTTTGGGGGGAAGTTAAACAAGCCTTAATTACTTACTAAATTCAACTATTTATACAAAGCTTTAATAGCATGTAGGTATAGTTAACCCTTTTTTTCAGTCTACCTGTGAAAAGCTAAAGCATGAAAGATGCCAATGGAGCACAGACACTGTAGTGCATTTTCTAGAACGGGAATCTGAAGACAGCAGGGTAACGTAACTGGAACCTCCTGGAAGACTTTTAGTGCAGGAGGCACTTAGAAAAGTATCAATAGAGACCAAACTCCAAAACACAGAACTTCAGAGCTTCTGCAAAAGCCTTGATCTACCTGTGCACCCCTCACCTGGCACAGAGGACGTGCTCTCTTACCTCCATGGCTTCTTGTGCGATATCTGGCATGCTGGACTGCGGAACGAGTTGCACGAGGCCTGTAATTAACTCGGCCGTGCTCCCCTGTGTCTCAGGCCCTTGCTTCCTTGGATTCTAACAGCAAGAGGCAAACAAAGTTTAAGTTGTAAAACTTATTACTGACCGACCGTGTTACTTTGAATGTAAAACATTTTAGTGACCAACCACTCCCTGTGATTAACCAGGCGGATTCCTGGATCTTTTAGTGACTATGTCAGTTTTAAGCTGTAACACCCTGTGCACATCAGATCTTTGACACAACTGAAATATTGAAACAATAAACAGACCTGAGAAAAGTGGGAGATCGAAGACCACACCTGTCCTTCTACTCAGTGAAATGATGACTTGTTTTCCCCCAACCTTTAGTTTAGCTTTCTTCTTCTATTCCTCTCTCATCCTGCCCCCCTCCAGAGTTAGAGCTTTATGATCCCTTTCCTTGTGCTGCAACTCTTTACAGTTTCTTTTTACTTTTGCCTTTTTCCTTTCAAAGCAGCATTAAAACCCAAGAAAAGAATGAGTAGGAAAGTATCCTAAGTGCCAGGTTTATGGTTTCAGTTTGTATTTATTCAGTAGCTTCAAAAGTAAATTTTCCTATGGATGAGTAGTACAATATACTTACACACAGCAACAGCTTTGGATCAGCATGGATCAGCTTTACCAAGGATAACAGCAAGAACTTGTAGCTTCTGGTTTCCAGATCAGTAGGTTTTTCTTTAAATTTAAGGCTTGTCATTTTCTCCTTAAATGTAAGACTCTGACAGAAGGAAAACCACAGTCACTGTCAGTAAGGCAGGCTACACAGTAGCTGTAATGAAACATCTTATAAGTGTATTGCTTTTATAATCCATAATTCATTAAGAACTTTGAAAGTATCTAAAACTCACTCCAGTACAGGCACACAGCTGTCTCCTTAAAAATCCCCTTTTACATCTGCATACTCTATCCCTTTAGTATCTTTACAGTTTCCTTCCAGATTGTTCTAGTGAGCTGCATGTGAGCATAAGGAAAGTTTATGCATAAGACGAATTGTGGCCAAGGAAAAAATGGATAAAAGGACCAAAAATATTTACAGCGATTCTCTCTGGTCTGAGAAAGAAATAAAAGTAAATGTTTCCAAGTTTCCAAGTGAGTTTGAACACATGGGAGGGCAGGGAACTCTCTTTCAAAAGCAAAATAATTCTCTTTATATTCTGTCATCATCAGTCTGGATTTTAGAATTTTCATCTCTGCGACCTCTGAAAAATGAATCTTTTGGTTCTCACAAGGTAGGCAGTGCATTGCTTCGGTGAAATAAATCTAGCTCCATCTGAAAAACCAGTGAACTACTTCTGGACAACTTCCTTCTCCTTCGTGAAATGAAGGACATTTGGACAGGCAAGGTATGCACTGAGATTTCACATTAGGTATTCTGGTTTGACTCCAAGATGAACCATATCATGTTCTACTACTGCTGTATGGCAAGCGACTGCTCTTCCTTCATCTCAACCAAAAATAACCTGGATACATGCTAACCTCTGAGGAACACGATATATGTATGTGTGCATGTCTGTACACATATACACACATATAAATACATGTATTAAAAAGGTGAACTTGTGTTGAGTGATCCCCACTATGTCCAAAATCAAAAGAATTTCATCTCTTCAATTACTTTACAGAATTTGTATTTTCATTAATTTCAATCTTATACCAGGAGGGACTGAAATTGCATTTTTGCTTATAGGTACCAAAATAGTTACAGGACAGTAACTTGGACAAATAAATCACTGTTGCGGATATTCACCACAAGAGAGGATACAAGGCTCTTTGGACACTCAGCTTTTTTAACTATCCTGTGTAGTTTATAGTTTGCGAAGCTCGAACAGTAACTGGTTTTTTATTTTCACTGAACTTTACGACTTTTGAACAAAAAAACCCCACCCAAATTAGCTGGAAATAATCCTCATGGTGACTGAAGAGATATGACATCGTATAACTCAATTCTACAACAAATCAGAACCTCATTATGATAGAACTATTATGAAAATACACAGAAAATCTATCACACAAAAAGCATCCAATCAAGAAACTGGTTCCACACTGGTCAAGTTAACTAATTCTCTCCTAAAGCTACAGTGAAGGGAGTTCTGAGAAGAGGCGCACGGCAAAAGAAGCCAACTTGTTCTGCGAAGCAATTTATTTACTTCACACAATCAAAACTAAAGCCTATGCTAAACAAAGACAGGGACATGACTGCTCTCTGCAGGTACAGCAAGGGGGTAGACACCAGTTTGAAGCTAAAAGGCAACACTGGAACAAGAACAACGGGGACAAGTTAGACATAAATAAGTTTAGGCTGGAAATTAGATATGGCTCTAACCACCAGAGCGGGGAGATTCTGGAAGAGCATCGTGATGGAAAAGGGGGCAGAAAGAAAAGACCAGAACCAAGTAAAGGCTGTTACTCCCAGGAAGGACCTCAGCTGGTTGTGCAAGGGATCACCCTGCAGTTGCCAGGGGCAGTGCTGGGATCTCCTCCCATCCTATGTTCTTGTGTAAACCACACTACCTTCTGTCCCCAGATGAAGTGAGGTGACTGCAGTGGTAACTATGCACAGAAAAGTCAGAGCAAGGGAGGGCTTTTCTGCGGTAGTTACAATGGGTCATACTTACAGCAACAGAGGCCCACTGCCATGCAAAACAGTGACTGGTTGGCATCTGACCATGTGAGCGACAGCAGGCAATAAGAACGGAAAATAAGAAGCAGAAGACAAAGCACCACCAATCAATGTCCGAGTTGCCATTACAAAACCCCTGCTATTTTCTCAACAGATGAATACAGACATGTAAAAAGCAAGTTAAACATGTTGTAGCTTTCAATTAAAGGTATTTTGATCATTTGCTTTCATTTGAGAAGCCCAATAAGAGTATTTTCATTTGTAACATTTTAGGCCTTTCAAAACAACCAAGTTCCCTTACCACATCCAAAGTCCTCAGTGGGAACTGCTGAAGAAAGGCCATGCAGCTGCATGTGAACTTACTAAAAAATTTGGATGACCTACAAATTTGCATTTACCAAGGACTTTTTTCCAAGTCAAGCAAGAATATTGACTTTATTTCATAATGCCTGAAAAATCTTTCACTTTGATGCTGTCACCAAGACCAAACAGTCAATTTGCTCAACAGAAAGCAAGAGAAATGAAAGAGATACTCATGTCAATCGTGGGAAAAGCATTGCAGTTTTCAGACATTATCTTCACATACAGAATGCTTTTGTTGTCAGATTAAACAAGAATGGACATATTACCTAGCTATGCACACAGCAAGAAAGCTTAAAATGAACAGTTAGCCACAGAGGACAGTTACAGAAGAAATACTTCTATGTTGCCCATTTAAAAGCAGCATGAAAACTGAGAAACATACATCACTAACCGACCAAAACCAGTTAGTCAATACACCAAGGCCTGCAGGGTTTACAGAGCATGTATGGCTCTCTGTTGCTTTTTGGATCGCAATGTTCTTCCCCCCTCTAGTTTCCAGTCTAAAGTTAATGGATAAAAAAGCTGGAATGGGATGGAGACACAGGAAAACCGAGGGGCTGTGTTTGCAGAGCTCCTCTGGAAGCCTTACCGGAGTCATGCGAATGGCCGGGTGGGCCCCGCAGCCCTGGATCGCCTTGTGAAGGGTCTCGCTGAACATGCTGCGCAGCTCCATGGAGTGGCAGTACACAGCGTCGATCCGCGGCCACCAGTCCAGCGCCGACTGCAACCACAACACAGCAGTGTTCAAACTGGCAGTGCAGGACTTGGATTATCATTCATTTCAGACCTCCAAACGTTACAAAAGCTGTGGTGTAACCAACCTTTACACATGGAGTACTTTACACTGCATCACCCACACCTTAATCCTGTATTCTCACCGTGAAACTCGTATGATTTAAAATGTTACTGATTTAAACATGTAACAGAAGCAAGACTTCCAACTCAGCTGCTCCCTGTGTTTTTCTGAGCAAGCACAAACTCTGTACCCACAAATGCAGGCAGCCGTTGGGGATTTCAGGATACTGAGTGTTCCAATGTAATACTTCAAAACAAACAATGTGCACTCAATTCACTGTGATACACTGAACAAAATGGAAAATTGGTATCTGAAGTACTTGATAATATCTGAAAAGCTGTATTGCACCACCACATCTACAGGAACATTTTCTCCCCCATTTGCTAAAGTGCCTAATACTGTTTCTTCTGAAGTATAGCTTTTTCATTATGTTGTTGGGATAAATGAAATAGAACGTGTTTTGTAAGTTAAGTTAGGCTGGCTGCTCGACACTGACTCCTTTCACACTGAACAGAATGAAAATTAAAGTGCTATTTCAGTGACTTAAAGCACAGTAACAAACTGAAGGTCAGCAAATGTACAAACTTTCAAACTACTTTTGGTATTCAGCGTTTACTACAAATTTTACACTATTTCAATTCATACTGGATCAAATCCCTGGACGAAACCATGAGGGCAGCTCTTCCCCCAGGTTCTCATGTCAATACGCTAGAAGTGGAGTAACTCTGCATATCCTGAGAGTGTTTTTCATGCATCAATAAAGCATTACCTACTATATAACCAGAAAACATAAAGATTCGTTTGTCATCCTACATCAGAGGGTATCAAAGCATATCTCTGCTGAAATGTTATACAGGAACACAAGCTCTTAAACTGGGAACCCAACTGGTGGACAGCATGAACAAAGATTTGTATGTCCTTCCTTACCAGCAACCAACTCCTGCTGCATGGATTCTGGCTACAGAATTTGGTGTACTATTCAAACTGTATTTAATAAGCAGATGCTGATGTGAAGAGAAATTACAGATTGGGCTGATGAAATACTTTCAGAACTCACATTTGTGATGATTCGGTGGAGCGAATTTACCAGCACATAATGAAATGTTGATGGGGAATTCTGTGCCAGGCAGATCTATAATAAAAACACATAAAAGCTACTTAGGAACATCTCTGTCTTTGCCATCTTTCTTATCATACTGAACAACAGAGTGGAGCCTTTTTATTAAATTGACAAATCTGTCAAATCTAAACAAGAGAAAGGAAATCAGCTAAGGATAGAGTTATAAAAACATGCAGGGATTTATTACTAAGAGATATCTATACAGTTGAACTCATTCGTGAGCTTCCAGCTGCTGTTAGTGTATCTTTCATAACTGACAGGTCATCAACAGTATGTGGAGAATGACTTACCAGTAGGCAGCATTCTCACCTTAAAGTGTTGGTTATTATGAGGGTTTATGCGGAAACAGGAAACCAAGCAGTCAATCATAAGGTCTACATCTGCATTTTGATTGCCTCTTGAAAAAGGTTTGCTTGGATTAAACAGCAAATTCTGTGTGTTCAAAAAAAACAGAAATGTATAAATCAGACACCAAGATTACCCATGTCTACTGTCAATACAACATTTTCCACTTCCACCCACTATGGTATTCAATTAAGGAGAAATGTAAAGTATTTCAGTATCTTAAAATTCAGATTTCTTCCTTGCAAATAGGAAACAGACAGTTTTACCTTCAGATCTACCACCATGGACTGCACTAGTAGAAAAATGACAGAATTATCTTCCCAGTTGATGTACGTAGAAGCTTTGCACAGTTTGACACAAGCAATAGCAGCACTTTCAGTCAGCTGTCTGCTCCCACCGTGGCCTGCAAGTGCCTTCCTGAGATTGTCCAGGAACAGTTTCTGCACAATTCAAACCAGGAATAGTTATAGCCAGAGCTCTGGTAATCTGTGGGCAGGGTTTTTAGATCCTTAAATATTAAAACCAAACAACACTTTGTTTTCTCATTGGAAATCATGGATATTGGGACTGCAAAAAACAACTTGATGCAGCATTCTGGAGAAATGTTATGATTACTAAAGTTCATTATGATCTGGGGCAATGAGAATGGTACAAAGATAGATGGCTGTTTACTCTTAACCATCGGGTTTGCAGCCTCATCTAATTCAACATCTGCCACAGGTGCTGCTATTAGGGAGCACCCAGTACACACACTGCAGACATCCAGGGCAGCACCACACTGGCCAGCTAGAAGTAATGCTACCAGGGGAAAAATCACATCACTGGGATTTAAATCTCCAAGGAGATGTAAAAGTTCTGATGTAACACTGTTTGGGACACACTATCTGTATGAAGTATTGACAGTGACAGAACATATGTTAGGTGAGAACTTAAAAAGGGTGCATGAATATACATATGGAATTGTAATGTGCTTTTTAAGCAGTAAAGACAAAATACACCTGAAACACCGAACAAGCAAAACCAAGCATCCTCTAGAAATCAGAACCCAAATTCAGATACTTTTCTTCTCTTACCTTGTTCATTTTAGTTTCTTCCACCACATCCTTTGCTATATCTTGGATTATCTCTGGACACAGGACGAGGAGTATGATTTGCAGTGGCCAAACTGCTGCTTTACGTTTTGTGCTTTCAGCAAAGCCATCCACTAAGTCAAACAACTTCTCTGCACAATCTGTAGAAAATATAAGCCCAAGAATAGGTACAAAAGGTATAAAAGGTATAAAGAGGGATAGCTCCAGCTACACAGAAGAAAAGTTCTGGTTTGCACATTACTGGCACGCTACTGGGGGCAAAATGGTCTCAACCCAGTTAAAGACATGGTTTCCCTGAAAACGTTAAGTTTTCCTCTCTTTTTGCCTAGAGACAAATGCAGGTGACGGTCTCTAAGGTTTTTCATGTATCAAGATGAAAAAATACATTTCAAGAGTTTCCACATTCTAGGTTTTATTTCTTTGTGCTGTGAACCACAAAATGAATCACTTTTTAATTAAAACATGAGTCAGGAGAGACAAGAGATAATGATAAACCCCTGCCTGCCCTCGGAAGGGTTGAAACAAATTTGGGGTTATTCTTATTTGTAGGCTGCACAAGAAGCAGAGAGGGCCAAAAATGCAAGGGAATGTGTCTTTGGAACAGTGTATCATTGGTTATGCCTTACCAGCCATATCAGTCTGAGGTGTTTGATACAGCTTTGTGAATTCATCAGGATAGTTTTCCACCCAGTTCCAAAATGCCTGCAGATAATGAAAAACATCTTTACATTCCAGAGCTTACAAATATTTTCTCTGAATTATGTATTCAAACAAAGCGAGATTTTCTTCTTCTAATCACTCAACATCTCTTGCAGAACATATATGCATCGAAGGGATGCACCGACTTACACTTCATCGTAAATCACCGAATCGCAACTACTCCTTAATTAGAGCAAGTCCGCAAATAAGCAATGAAACAGAAGACAACATTAAAATACTCACCTTTTCAAGACTGTTGATAACAGCCAATTGAGCTACTTTCTTAAGGGCTTTAAACTTGAATACCGTCTCTGTAAAGGTAAAACATTTCTGCATTTAGGAAAGATACTTGGTTCTAAAAAGCAACACAGATTATAAAAGACATCTGAAGTGGAAAGCAGTTTTTAAACCAATGTGTTTCTGTTACTTAAATATTCTAAAATACATTGGTAAATATGTGACTATTTGGAGTAAACCACGGCAATAAAAAGATACACAGATCAACAGCATTGTGTCAGCTCTAACTAGCCATATTCAAGTTAACAGTATTTCAAAACACAGGCTCAAATCATACCTTGCAAGAGTCGCTTTAGTTTGGAACAATCCACACTGATGTACTGTAAAAGTTCAATATCATGAACATCAGCATTATCTTCTGAACAAACAGTCAGTTCCTGTAATCTAAAAATATGCAAAGTAAACTAACTTCTCAATGGGATTATGTCAGAGAGGTATGAACACATGCCTATGGTTGTACACATTGGAACAGCAGGGGAGGATTATCTGATCTCCTCAGATAAACTTCTCCAGGTTTAGAAATGGAAGATGGAGCTTGAATGATTAAGTGTTAACATCTTATCTTGCTCCATCCTCATACTGAAAAATGGATCTAGAAATACCAGCGATGAGTCTTACAGGATACCAACACCATCTGGTGACAGTCTGTTTATGCCCAAGAGTTGCCTAAATCCTTCTGTTATCTACCATACTGTAGCAGTAATCTTGTCATCTTTCCAACTAAATATTAAATTTGTGGAATCGTGACACCTTCAGACTACTGCTCCTTAACAGCAAGTCCTGCCCCAGGTCATTTCTCAAGACTAAAGCAGTGACTGATGGTACTTAACATCACTGAGCTACAACCACCCCTTGTAAGCTAAAGGAGGGCCACATTTTTTCTGGTCTGATCAAAGTTTAATCACACCAGTTTAAACAGAACAGCATCTTTTTACACTTTTGCATCTGATGATTTACTAAACATCTCATCAGATACTAAGCCACTAATAACTAAATCGTATGTTCTCACAAACTAAAGATTGCCATGTCTTGTTCCAAAGCTACAGATGTGTTTTAGACATGGAATGTGATTTCTAGTACTACACACAAAAGCAGTTCTTCATTTCTTCAATTTAACAGCCCTCGCTGGGAATGGGAAGGTCCCCAGTGCTGTGCTTTTCATGCCAAAAATCCCCCAGCTGCTGTACAAGGCCTAGAAATATGCCTAAACAGGAAGCACAGGTCAAAAGATCAGCAATGCTAACTGTCGGCAAGCTGACCCCTGTGGAGATCAGCAACAACTGGTCAAATATTTAACTGTTCATGTACAAGCCATCTGAAGCGAAAAACAGGTTAGGGAAAAAGCACTGTGTGCCAGCTCTGAGGGATGGCAGGAAGGGATTTGGAGCTTGAGAACTAAACCATGCTAGAGACATGTGAATAAATATAGATCCATGGACCAGATTCAAAGACTGTCAAAAGACTTCAACTGAAAAATACTTCCTATAAAAGGAGCAAAAGAAATTGTTTCCATTTCCATAAGCAACAAAACATAATCAACCTATTGAGTAAAACCACATCCTCCATCCTAGCTGCCAAGTCCATGTTCTTGAAGCAGAAGTTATTATAGCTCTGCAAAAGCTTTAAAAATACTTAAAATTTAAAATTATTAAATAATTTTAGACTGATTTCTAAAATGCAAGTGTTTTCCAGCATGTGGGAAGGAACTGTTCTTCCATTAGAAAGAATATATAAATCTTTGTCTCGATTAAATTGGCACACTCATTGCTATGGGACCACAGGAGGCTGCCCAAGCTCCACTCCTAGCAAAGCAAGGGTGATGTTAGTTGTGACAACATGTGCCTGGAGCTAAGCTGCCTCAAGCATCTTTCAAAAAACATCTAAGTATTTCAGTAATAAAAAGCACAACTCCAGTGGATTGGCAAATGCTGAAACATCAGAAGGATGTGGAACAAGGCAAACAGAGCAAAGAATAGATGGAAACTTTGGGCCTGTCTCTCTTCTCACTTAGCAAAGACAGTTATTTTTACAGTCAATGTGCTGTGAAACTCAAGTCAGGCAGAAGACAAATGGGTCTTTTCCAACAACTAACAAACTGCCCAGCTGTTTTGTCCCCTTCAGGCCTAAGACAGATTTGACATAAAAGCCTTCAGGCAGGAAAAATTCAGAAGGAAAACAGCCCTGGGGCTCCAGTCGAGCTGCAGACAAGCTGAAATCATGCATTCTAAACTCACAGGCAAATGTATGCAACCCATCATCTTCAGCAGCCTTTGTTTTCCAAAACACCTTGCAAGAACTTATTCAACTGAGTTACCACTATTTTCAGTCTACAATAGCATTTGACATGTACTTATGAAAGCAAACTAAAAATGCAGTAAATGCAGCTCATAGAAACTCTGCTGGCAGTGACCTAGCATGGGTATGAAACAGGTTCATTTGGTAACCAGAAACTCAAGTGAAGTTTTGAGAGGTAGTTTCACTTAGGAACTAAGGAACCATCTTGTCAGATATCATTTAAACAGTTAACTTTTCTGAACTTAGGAAGACTACACCTCATGATGGATGTTCTACACACCACTATGTAGCAGATCTTCTAACCCACTATGTCAGGCTACTGAGAGCACCTACCTGGTGGAAATGCGGCTGAACACAGCATTGAAGTTATTGCAGCTCAGAGAAAAAAGAACCCCAGAGGCCGAATTCCGCAGCTCAGCTGCGTGCTGGTTCCCTTCACGGTAGGTGTGGATGAAGTGGCAGATTTCTGGCAGCAACTGTTTCACCAGCATAGTCTCGTCTAGTCGCATGGTATCCTTTGGTTGCTAAAAATAAACACGCAGTATTGCATGAAATTCCGGTTTGGAGGCAAAAAAACACGGAGCATCTGCCACTGGTAAGCAGGCACAGGACCTGAATCTAAACTTCTAACTGCCTGAAGGCTAGCCCTGGCCATAGTGTGAGTAGTCTGCACAGAACAGGCTTCTTTCCATTTGAACAGTAACTCATGTCATTCAAACCATCTTACATTTTCAGCTAAGTCTCCAAGATATACAGGACACTGGGTTAATCAATCAAGGACCAAGCAAAAGATCAAACTAGTTTTTGAAGCAAAGCATCTTTATCCCTGTTGATCTGTGTAAAGTATTAGCAGTAGAGCATTAACTATCTCGGTTTGGAATGGAAGCTCAAAGAGCAAAGACCCACCCTTACCTCTCTTTTGGGTAGGACTTGAACCACTGTATTTTGACAGCAAGTATTTTATATTAAAAAAGTGAGCTGAAAAAGAGGTTCTCCCTTTCTCTTGCCTGGGATTGCTCTACACGAGTCAAAAATGGCTTAACTTTCCTGCAACAGAAACATCTCATTTTTGCCAGTTTGCACAGTATGAGACATAAGGAAACTATTTACAAAAGAATTCAAAGTGAAACTTTGCTCTACTAAAAGCAAGTTTTAACAGAGGGTCAGCATTAAAGCTTTCTAAAATTCTACCAATGAATTTACCATAGGGAATTGGGAAGTTTCAGAGACTCCCACTTAGTTGACCTGAGTCCTGTTGCCATGAGAACTTGATGAAACATTGAGCAAGAACAGGGAGCAAGAAATACGGCTGAAGATAGCGCAGAACACAACGCTCTTTGTATAGAACTTTGGCTCAAGTCTTATTAAACATACACTGGCTCAACTTGCTCTCATTTAAACTGACAAAGCAAGAAGTATTCAGCGCAATTTTAGGCTGTTCAAATATCATCATCAGGAAAAACCCACTGACATTTCAAACAACATGCATGTAAGGAATAGTTTAAAAGAATTAACTTCTGAGGTTAAAACAGCTTTTCCAACTCTGCACCAAAGACAAGAAACGCCAAGAAGCAGCATTTATCTCAGCTGTACAACCTGAAAATTACTCTGGAGAAGGTATTTACCTGGCTCTTCTGTGATTTTAGAAGAATCCACAACTATTCAGCCTGTTTTAGTACTGTAATGCAAGATACGCTGCTTGACAAAGCTAACCATAGTAAGGTCAATGCTTTATAAAGAAAGAACTTCAGGAACTGTTGTAGGGAAACAGCAAAGAGCTTAGCTGATTCCATGCCATTCCTCCAGGAATACAGCTTTCAAAAAGAAGTTCCTTTCTTGCTAAAGGAATAAACCACTGCAAACCTTGCTCACTCTGAAGTTTGGCTTTGCAATTACACAGCTTCACACAGTAAGTTGTAGAACCGCTTACATCCCAAAGGTAATAGAAACTGCCTTGCAGCACAGCTCTCGCTGGAAAGCTCAAGACTGGACTCCCAGTGGAAGTCTGGACATGGTGAACTAATGCAATCTAGGAAACACCTGCAAAAGTAATCTTTCGAATAGCGATAGCAAAGTCTCTACTGTATACAGCAGCTCATGACAAATTACTTCAAAAACCGAAAGTTTTAAGAAAGGTAAGGAAAAATCACCACTGTAAGCAGAAAACAGACACTTGAACTGAATTATCTGCTACTTTTAACATGATTTACTATCCCTTACTTTTTCTGTTTAAATTGTTTAGAAGTGTTTAAGACAAAAACGTGTTGATGCATCTACTTAAATAGTGAGCAGGACATGCCACAAGCATTCAAAGCTTTAAAAAACCTAGTGAAGCTTCACAGCCACATCTCATTCTTCCTTTGGGTTGTGGCTTGCCTTCCTCCAGCTCACACATGTCTCTGAGTATGGCTGTGTTCTTGTTAACAAGTTATTAAAAGAGAAACATTATTTGTAGCTCCATAAATCAGCTGAGTAGTGGGAAGGGCAAATTCAAAAGTTTATTTGAATCTTTTTAGCTGAAAAAAAAACACTGATTTTAGGCAGGAAAAAAGCACCCCATAATCCTTCATTTCTCAGTTATATCAAGTGATTGCAGTTACAGGAAGGTTTAGAATTTTCTAAATGGCATTAATCCTACTTTGCTCTAAACACATGAGTTTTAACTTTAGCACCAGAAGTAACAGATACACAAGCATTTGACTTGGGTGCTCTAACTCATTTAATTCCAGCTTAGCAGTGGCTTGTGCAAGCCTACTCACCCCTGCCAGACATTTTTCCAGTGTATCCAAGATAATCAGCTGAGATAGATACAAATTCTTTTCAGCAGTTTCTCCAAATATTCTCTAGAAGTAGAAAGGACACAGATTCATCTGAGACACAGAAATTTGACTTGTAATGCATTAATGCAGCAAAGTGACACAGAAGTTATGGCTCCTTTACAGCTCTGGGTTTGAGCTTAGAAACAAAGCCAACGAAGATCAGATTAAAATAGGAATTAAAACATTATTGCTGAAGAAATACCTTTGGCCAGTCTGCAATGCCAAGTCTAACAAGGAACAGTTACCACAAAGCACAGCTGGAGGTGCACTGCAGCCCCTTACCTCCATCAGGCCTGTAATGTACTCAGAAATGAAGGTTATACCTTTCCAGAACCTATTTTGGTATCAGTTACTGCTGACTCTTTCCCACTTACCTATTTCGTTGCCAACATCTTAATAGAATTGATGTTACAACAAATCCATACTGACAAGCTTATTAGAGTGTTGCAGAAGTTAGCACAGACCACAGGACCAAACACAGGAGAGGCTCCAAAGAGACCCCACGCTTCAGATGCAGGAGGAAGGCAGAGTGCCATTGGGTGTTGAAGCCAGCACCCACTTTTACTTCCAACAGTAGCAACTAGTTCCAGCAATAGTAAGACAGCAAAATAAAGCAGAAAAGATTTCACCAAAAATAGGTCTACACAAGGCACACGTGTAGAAGTCACCCAAAGGAAGCTGTATTTTAAACCATTGGAGAGGTTACCTCAACTTCAGCAGAGTGCAAACCCTCTGCGTGCTAAACTAAGACCATGCTGACAGTCTGCTGGTCTCTCTGGTTTCAGCTACAGAAATCCTTCCAAAATGTTGCCAATTCATACAGTAGCTCCATCCATCAAACACAAAAAACGTTAAGTCTTACAACTCTGTGTAAAGCAAATGTTGACTTTTTTTATTGGCATTCTTAGCTAGGTCTTTCCTCTGAAAATCTATATATCACATACAGAAACTTGTTATAACTGCATAGTTCTCATTTATCAATCATCTTACACATCAACACATTCCTTCGTGCCCATGGAGTTTAACACAAATTCTCTCTCAAACTTTAAGCAGCCTAAAACCCCCATCATGAGGACAATCTATTTTCAGACCTTATCAATCTTTTGTAGTGCTTTAGCACATCTTTACACAGCTGACATCCAGAAGAGCTTGCTGCAAAGTCTCCCACTAAAGCCAAAAAACCCCAGTACTGCTAGGGTATGGCCAGTTCTGTTACCTGCTTTGGAGACCCCACATGAACCCTAACCCAACAATCCAAAATTAGAAAACTTACCATGTTATTAACATTTTTTAAGATATTGGTGAGACCACTGATGACCAGGGAAAACTTGTACTTGGAAATGTTTATGAGACATTCCTTGTTGTGCTCCGTACTGACTTTGGTGTGGGTATTTTGCTGGCCAGCCTTTATAGGAAGCTGCAAGAAGAGGAAAGTATTGTCAGCTTTTCTACATGGAAATCTGCATCTTTAAAGATAGGTTAAAGATTCTGAATCACCTGAAAAATGTTCTACAGGAGACAACTACAAACACTTTGGTTATTTCATTTTCTCTACATTCAACTTTCTTTTAGTTCTCTATAAAACAAAATACTGAAGTTCACCTATTCCTTTATCTGAATGGAAACTAAACCTCTATTTTGTGATAAATTCTCCACAAACCAAATGTCAGAACCATCAAAAGGAGCAGAAAAACCTAAGGTAGGATTCTGAGAAGAAAAGTCTCTTTATTTCAATACCTGGCTGTTAAATACCAAAAACCTTCACAAGGCCGAGAGTTGCAAGGAAAAAATCTCCCTCTTGAAACGTAACAGGAGGCAAAGCCACAGCAGCTCACCCAGCAGGCGAGCTGGAAGGTGGGAACAGTGGCTCCATGCGTGTCCTCCTCTCTCTCACAGGACAGAACCAACCAAGAGGCACAACTGAGTCCCCGGAGGAGCCACCACCAACAGCCTCTGCAGGACATGGGTTACTGGGAGGTCCCACAAACACCCCCACCACCAGCCAGGCAACAAGGTGTCAGCCTCAAACATGCTTCGAGCACCCAGGAGCCAACCACAGCTTGTGAGCCCCACGCTGATGCATCTGCTCCCATTCAGATAAGGTTCAGAGTGACTGCACAAACCCAAGATGCTTCTCCTGCTGTGTGAACGAACACTGGGCGCTTTGTTTCATGCCATACCCAGACTCTACAAGGGTCACAAGCAAGTCACCTCCCAGGCTCACACTTACCTGCCCTGTGTGCTCCCCACCAGCACCAGCCCCTCATGAACATGAAAATGTGAGGAATGGAGCTCCAGAAACTCTACTTTACTGAATTTTTAAAGCAAATGGAACTACAAAGGAATCACTACCGTCACCTCTTTTTATAATTCACATATGCCATTTGTATTTTAAAACGTGACCCAGGAATTCACTGCCTATAGAAACTTGAATTGCTACTACCTGTTTTGACCAATTTTAATTAGAATTCTTGATAAATGTGGATTCTGCAAGACACCAACAGCTCGGTGTGAGTACCACGATGTAAAATTTTTGCATTAGAAAGGGTGTCTTCAACAAAAAAGTAAATTCAGAGAGGTTAAAACAAGGGTTCCAAGGGTTCCAATCAGCTTTAGAGCTGCAAAGTGCCTAAAGATCAACCTGCCAGGCGGGGTCTCTGCAGACTTGGTGAGAGGACTCCTCATTTCCACTCACTTTCGACTCACAAAGTGGCTGTGGGATCTCTGCAGCAAGTGCAGCATCAGGGGAGCACCCCTCTGCCTGCACAGCCTCCTACAGCCACACAGTGTTCCACAGGACACCCCAGGTACCTTCCACTCCATTTAGTGATTCTCTTGCTAGTGTTCAGGCTGCAATGAATGGTTTAAACCAGGGAGATGTGTCCCAACGTGCTCACTGGAAAACTGGAAAAAGCAGAACCAACAGCAGTTGTGACTCAAGCTTTGTTTTCATCGTTGGATGTTATTTTTACAAGACATTTTCGGAAGTCATTAGTACAAGATAGATACATTTAATTAAAAGTTTCACCATTTCTAGTAATTTTATTTGAATTCTCAAGTCTCCGTGCTGACAACAGCAGAAAAGCTCAATAGCACTGAGTGATAAAACACTTCAGAAGTGCCTCTCAAAGAATCTGTGTCATAGATCTAGTCCTGCATGCTTCCATGCTATAGAAACATCGGATTGCACACTTCTGGAGCTTCCTGCCACAACAGCAAGGTCACTGAGGAGTAAAACTGCTTTTTATACTACCATTTAAAATAGGATACTATGTAAGAAGGAGATATTAGCACTGTTGGTTTAGGTTTTTTAGTTTCTCAGCTATTTTCTCTGCTCACTGGCATGCTGAAGCACTGTATGTCCTCACATGGAAGGCAGTGCCAGTATTGAGTGACCAAAATGAAACTATTTCACTTCTATACAAATATCCGTAAATTTCAACATGACCAAAAAGGGAGAAAAAGTTGAAATTTTACTTTCATTGCCTCTGATTTTATTTTAAAAAAGAGAAGGACCAATACAAATGGTTTCCTGGATAGCTTTTATTAGAATTAGAAACAGAAATTAAAGCAAGAAACTTAAATATAACTGGAGCTTCAAAGTATGAACACATGGACCATTTTCTCTCATCACTGTTCAGCAAAGGGACGGTCCAGTGCTTTAATTGAGCTCTTTTCACCCTTGAAATAGGAAGCAACAACCAACAGCCTCGTAACCACACTGATGCACACATAGCCGGCATGCTGCCATACACCTCTAATCCGCTTTGTGTTTCACTGAGGTGTCTAACAAGCTCCAGAGCACAGTGAACGGTGTTCCGGACTACCGCTTGCCTTATATAATGCAGTGGACAGAGACAAAATAGGTACATGAAATCTGGAATCTTTAGGATCAATTAAAGAACATTGCTGCAGAAGACAAGGAAAAGCCATTAAGTAGCCGAGCCTGCCAGTTGCAATAGTACAGTACAAGATGCAGTGTGTCCCGAATTCAGGACACAAGTCATCTTCTGTATCAGGCATTGCTGAAACAATTGGAAAACCAAACTTATAAGATTGCACTGAAGCATATACCAGCTTTCACCAGCCATGCAAGGTCCCTGGCTGTTAAAACACATCTGCTGACCACACAGCTTAAGTCAAACCCTGTCTCTAGAAATGCATTTGACATCCACGTACACAGCCCTATATACCTTCTATAGCTTCTCCAGATCTGCTGCTGATGCAGCACTGGAACTGGGCAAACGTACTGGTGAGAGACAAACTATACACAGCACCACTCTTTCCTCAGCATCAGGACAGATGATGATCAGATGATGATGAGAACCAGATAAAAATGTCTTTAAAAACCAAGAGGCATAGTGCTCCCAACTATAAACCTTGACCAAAGGCATTATTTAGTAAAAGAACCTCACAACTAAACCTTCAGAAGAACACAGAACTCTGAAAGTATCTCATATGGGTTGCCTAAAACCAGTATTTTCAAAAGGTTAACTAGAAGCTGGCACTGTGAACAAACGTGTATTTACTGCTAACACAAACTGCTGTGCTACACGCAGAAGGACCATCAAAGCACCTTGATGCTTGTCAGCAGCTCATTACTGGATTCAGGTAACATCTGTTGCATGTGGGCCATTCCTTTATCTATTCCGCAGGACACCATCTGTGTGCAGTACAGCACTTAGGTTTGAAATACATTACACACCCTGGTTTAGAAAAATAAGATCAAAGCTGCTCCAGGTTTATGTTAGAGACAGATGAAGTAGCACCCTGTGTGGTTAAGGGCAGTGCTATCATCTGGCTCTGTTCTTTGCTCCTGTGGAAATGTGTTTCAGGCAGAGCAGCTGTGGAAAAGAGTTCCATCTCTTGCACAGACCAGCCCTGCCTTACAGGACAAGACACTGTAACTCAGTGAAACACTTCAAATACAACTTACTACTGGTGGTTTCTTAACAAACCAAGATGCACAAGAGCAATGAAAACCCCAGAGCTGGTGCTTGCAGCCAGTGCTTTCCGAGGTCTCTATACAGATCTCAGATGCTGCAGAGAGAATCAACAGGAAGACTGAATATTTGCTTTAATTTAATGCCTTTTAATGAAAGTAAGAGTGGAACCTTCCTACTGGCTTTCAGTTTATACAAAAGCTTTCTTAACTGAAAGCAATCAGATCTCATAAACTACAAATAGGAAGCCTAAATCATAATCCACATAATAAAGGGCTTTTTTTATTTAAAACATATCATAATCACTTAAGTCACCACAAGTTTATACAGGATTAATACCTTTTATAGCATCTGACAGTTTAAAAACAGCCTAGATTTAAATGGTTTAGGCAGTAAGGCTCCTCTGACTATGCTCTGAACTACTTCACCCCTGCATCAGCCTTCCCATGATTTCAGCTTGTAACACATTTAAAAATGCTATAAAAAATACAGCACATGAAATTGTAAGTGAACATTTCCACAGGAAAAAAAAAAAGAAGAGATAATTTTCTTTTACAAAGACCTGATTGTCCCTGAAATCACAGAGAACTGCCCTTAAACACAGGCTGGCCCCTTTGTGCTACTGCAGCCTAATGCTACCCTGATCCCTGGGAAGTTTTAAATTCTAACAACTAGTACCACATAGGAAATGAGCCAAGAGATCACACAGGTGTGACACGAGGAATGAGATGTGGCCTCACATGGACCACCAACGGGCTCCTTCTGCACCAGCTGAACCCTTCCCGCAGCCTTCAAGAGTGGCTCATGGAAGAGGCCACTGCAGCACTTGTCATCTCCAACGTGGTATATCTGAGAAATCTCTCCAGGGAGCCAGCCACTGGTTAACTCATAGTGCTGCTCTTGCCAGTCATTTTGTCCTCACAAAGGCAGATTTGGGTTAAAGCAGCGTTTCTAACAATAAACAAGAGCAGACAAGAGCAGACTGGTTTGCACTGATTTTTCTTGTTTTCAATACAGATTAGCATTCTCTCAGTTTGTTGTTTCATCTGTCTTAAAATGAATTCAAGCCCTTAGCAAATGAATGAGAAGCCTGTCTACATCTATAATTTTTGGTGAAAGATGGTAACATTTCCCTCCTTTGTAGAGGAAGGAAGAAACCTTGAAAAGCTTGATCTTCTCCCAAGCAGAAAGAAAAACCCAAACAAGATAAAACTAAACAACCCACAACAAAGAGGAGCTCCCCTTCCTCATTCTAACATACCTATGATACAATTAGTAGTGGCTTCCTGAGTGCTGAATCAAGAGGTCCTGCATTTAGAAAAGCCGACATAGCATGCAGACTCAAAACTGCATCATCACCACTAAAATAATACGCATATATTCAATATATTTCATGGAATATGAACTTGATGCTCAACTGAGCAGTGTAAAACGTAGCAAGTAGAAAACTTAATGACCACACAACTACCCAGTAACGACACAGATGTAAGGAGTTACAGAGCATGTAAGTATCACCATTGGTTGGCAGCACATCCAGTAGTAGCAATGGTGTCACCGTAACCTGGCATTTGGGTATTCAGCTAAGAACAGTCACCTCTCCACCGTGACAATCACTGGCAGCCCAGGCAGGGCAGAAGAAATGATGTTATTAAAAGCAAACACATACAATTAAGGACCCTGAGTTGAAATTAATGAATGAGAGAGAAAACTCCTCACAAGGAAGTCGCGATTAGTGCCTCATCCTCAATTCACTGCTTGATAATGCAGTATTCCCTTAAAAGTGCACCGGTTCCACAAAAATATGCAATAAACTGATCAAAATTGTGTAAATAGCCCCTACAGCACCAACTGTACTATGACTACCACAGTCAACACTATTTGGTGTGTACTATCCAGTACTTCAGCATCTCAAAACTCAGCCCAGCTTTCTTCCTACCAAGAGAGGATCCCTCCCATTCACCTATCTGCAATTATCCCATAAAACATGTAGGGAAATAATTCTGTTTCAAAGCTGAAGTTCTTAACTCCTAACAGATGTTGGCAAGCCCAATTCCACCATATACATAACAAAGCAATCAACAGAGCCCTGGGCCTTTTAACACCAGTACACAAAGAAACATTTTCTTGTGTTACTGGTAGCATAATCAGTACCATGCTTTTTAGGCTTATGGAAAAATGATCTATGACTCAAGATAAGGGGGGGAATAAGTTAACTATGCAAACATGCCTAAAATATATTGGGAAAATCTGCATCATTTTAATGTCAAAAGACAAAGTTTGATGTTTTCCTTTACTAAATAAATTCCGTTTACAGCAGCTTTAATAGAAATGTAAAGAGGAAGAGCTTATTTTTATTCAACCAGGCCAGTCCTCCTGCGAGCTGTCCAGAGCCAAACATCACCGAGGGGGACACGAGGCTACGAGGCAGGTGAACAAAACTCAGCCTATAAAGCCAGCTTAATGGTTCTGACAGACGTGACACGAGCTCACAGAGCTGCGTCTTGTGTGGCACAACAGCTGTACTCACAGTGCAGCAAAAGGAGGCAACCCAGAAGCTGATCATTCAGCCCAAACCAAGCTCACAACTCATGTCAGGAGAGCATCCTGGGAGCAGAAATGCAGAGCCCAAGCACTGAGCTTAGCCTCCCTGAGGAAGTCATGCCACCTAATCCCCGTAAGCAGTTTCTGCATGTGGATCAGAGAAACACAAAGTCTAAGGCCAACAAATCCCTCATCCTTCCATTCAGAAAATCCTTCTGCCAACTACGAGCACCGGCTGTTGTAAAGAGCAGCAAATGCCTGTCACTGTAACAGCACTGGTTAGAAAACACTCTTCACCCCACACGCCTGTGCTCCCGGTGATGTGGGTGAAACAGCACACCAACATCCACGGTTACACTATAGGCAACCAGGCAGAATGGCCTGAGCAGTGCCACAGAGCCCTCCTTAAACTCGTTCTTGAGGCTTTATCGCCTTCCCAGTGAGAAAGATGGTGTAAAAGCAAGTAAGCAAATTTCCCAGGCATGTCTATGAAAAGCAAACACTTCTGGAAGCGCAGGGGAGCAGAGGCACCTCACCCCGGCACAGTCCCGCTGACACACTGCACCGCGAGCAGGCTGGCGCAGGGGAGCCGCTCGCCGCCGAAGCCAGGTCCCCTCCCGAAGGAGCGGTGAGAGCCCCGGGTGTGCTGGAAGGGATGGACCGACCGGCCCCACCCAGCCACCGGCCCCGCACAATGGGCGCAGCGGCGGGGGCGGCTCCCTCGGTCCCCCGGCTCGGCCCGGAGCCCTGCGGCGGGGGCTCGGCGGGAGGCAGCGCTCTCACCGCCGCCTGCGCCCCGGGCCCGGGGCAGCCACCCCCGCTGCTCGCCCCAGCCCCGCGCCTCCGGCCCGCAGCAGCCCCGCGCCTCCAGCGGCGGCCCTCCCGTTCTCTCTCCTCCTCACGGCCGCCCGCGCTACCTGCTCATCGAAGCGGTTCACCACGGCCTGCACCCACTCCACCGGCTTGTGGGCCGCCATGTCCCCCCGCCTGCCCGGCCAGGGAGGGGGGCGGATCCCCGCGGGGAGGGCGGCAGGAGAGGCGCCGGGCGCGGGGAGGGCGCGGGCGGGTCTCCGTTATCCCTGGCGCGCTGCGGGGCCCTCAGCTCCCCTCAGCCATCAGCGCCCGGGGCCCGCCATGACACCACACCGGAAGCGGGAGCCCAAGGCCGCCCCCGCCCGCCCGAGCAGCAGCGCCGCGGCCGCCGCGCCAGGGGGAGCGCCGAGACCCAGCCGGCGGCGGGGAACACACTGCGCCTGCGCGGCCTCGGGGCTGCGCCGTGCTGCGCCTGCGCGCCCCCGCCCCCGCGCAGGCCCGCCCCGCCCCGCGCCTGCGCCGCTCGGGGGGCAGCGGCGCGCGCGCAGCCCGCGGTGTGGGCGGGGCTTGGGGAGGGAGGGGCGGGGGGCAGGAGGGGCGGGGCCGAGGCACTGGCGGGCGGGAGGCGCGGGTGCGCGTTCCCCGTTAGGGTAGCTATAAAGGGTTTTATCCCTATAAACTGGTCTGGTTCTGCAGAGCACCGGGTAACGCCCGCTGCGGCAGAGCCACGTGAAGGTCCTGGCCGTGTCAATGAAGATGGAACTTGAGGTAAAACCTCCCAAACCGTCAAACACACGGGGAAGAGCTGGAGAGTAAAAGGGACTCACTCGCTGTAGCTCCACCAGCGGGGCCTCGGTTCTGCTCAGAGACTCTTGCCACTGTCATAGCACATATGAATTATTACCAGCAACAGCAACACAAATAAATCCTCGTTTTGTGAAACGTTCCCTGTAAACAAGAAACGATGGCATTCCTGCAATCCAGATTTACAATATGAACCGTACCACTGCATTCTAGCAATAAGCTCAGGAGTGTGGCTCATAGCAAGTATTTGAAGAGGCAGTTGTCCTATAGAAAGATGAAAATCAATTGCAAACACTTTATTTAAGAAAAAAAACAATTGTTTGAAGAATAAATTGTAGTTTCTGTCTGTACTCATGGCCCCGTCCTTCAGGAAATGCAGAGGGCATTCTGATTTATACAAATTGCAGAGACCAATACTGGGCTCTTAAGTGCCCTGGATTTGGTATGATCCATTTGCTGTAACTAGCTGTGGTGTGAAGGCCATTGATCCCTCTGCAGCAGAGTGCTCTACAATGGTCAGCATTAATATGTGTCATAAAGGATTTTAAAACAAACATTGTCTTATGGTCTAGAAAAGTCCTCTAATGTATTGCCTATGTATACTCATATCAGAGTCAAACCTACATGATACATGTATATATGTGCTTAATTACAGACATCTCCTCTGGGTCAGACTGTAAGTAAAGCTGCTCCCTGAGGCCTTTCCCAATCATGTTTTTGTGAGCACAAGGAAAGGCTCCACCAAAATCCAAGCAAACAGGCACATTGCATCCCCACACCATTCCGTAAACATTGTTATTCTCCCCTTGCAAAGGTAAATGGTTACTTGGACTCCAGAAAACAGGATGAGGTCAGGGATCTGTTCTCCAGGACTTCCAGCCCTGCTGGTTGTGCTCCCCCAGGAGGTGTGCAGGCATCTGGGGACGGGGCCGGCTCTGAGTTCCCCTGGTTCACGTCCAGAATCTGTTGGGGCTGACAGAAAAGGCTTTGTCACAAAGAGTGCAAGAGGGAATGAACACAGAACACCAGCGGTGTGCTCCTCCATCAACATGCCCAGTCTCATTTTTCAGATCTTTATATACTTGATCCTTAAGTATCCCGTAGCAATCCAGCAGGAATAATATCCACTTAAGGCAGTACTGCCACAATCTTCATGGGGATCTCTACGTTCTGCCAAAATCTAAACAATAATAATCCATGCAGGGGCAGGAAAGGGCTTCAGTTTACTGATAGGCTTCTGAAAACATGTCCTGAAACCAAGAAAGAAACCAGGGCTGGTCAGAGAAAAGCATCTGGGAGCTCCTGACTTAGGTAGAAAAAGGCTATTTTTTCCATTCAAAACCTACTAAACACAACAAACAGTGCTTCTTCCTGTTTCTCTTAGTGTTTTTCCCAAAGCAAATCTGTTCCTTAAAAGCAAACACAGCTTGCTGTAGTATTCCCAGATTTTAGACAGTGGGCAGCTTCAGAGGCTGAATGGTGATGCTAGAAATCCTCACAGTGTTTCCTCAAAACTCTCTGGAAAATTCCAGCCAGTATTTGATCAAGACGATTCTTTCTCAAAGCTCTCTGCTTCCTTTTAATTGCTTCCTCTTCTCCCTAGGCTAGATAATAAAGTGCCTGAGACCCACTATCCCAGAAGGGATCTGCTGGCCTAGGAAAAACCAGTGTCTCTGTTAACTGCTGTGCTAGATTCCATCTGTTGGCCACATGAACACACAGACTTTTCTGTTCCCAGCAGGCAGACACATACCAGTCTGTAACTGCTGGTTAGGTATTATCTGAAGGTAAATCACACCAAGTTCCCCAGCCCCAGATAATTCCCGAGTTGTAGAACCATTTATTTGGCAGCTCTTGGCAATCTCGTGCCTCTTGGTTATGCTGGTGGATTATTTTAAGACACTTTGGCAAGAGCTTCTTAATGCACTTCCTTAAGCTTATGTGCAAACCAAAATGAGAAATTACAGCCTAAGGCATCCACAGGGTCTTGTCAGGCTTTGTGGGAATGCCAGTGGGTTTTCCTCACTAAAAATGTCCCATTGTGGCTGTCAAGAGTGGCACTGGTGTTAGGAGTCACATGTAAGAGGAAAGTCCCTGACAATATGGATTTTTCCCCTCCCACATCTGTACCTTTTGCTTTTCTCTGCCGTGTATTTTCAACTCAGATTATTTATTTATTAGCCTATCTTTTTTCCCTCCTGCTCCCAGCAGTCTGTGTTTCATACTGCCATTTCTCCTCTGCATTCCTCCCATCCCATTTCTCATTCTCACCACATTTGTCAAACACTCCAGAAGTGGCTCTAATAGACCAAGTGACACTCTTTGATTTCTATGTATCAGCTTTGCTCCAGAAACCCCCAGCCATTTACAGAGGCAATTCCTGATGGACAGGGTTCCATCCTGGAGGGACTGCGCCAAATCTGGGATCAGGGACAAAAAACATTTTCCCACCTTTCTTAAGTGAAGCCAAACAAACAAACCCGGGCAGATGCGGAAGGAAGGGAGGGAGGGAAAGAGCTGCCAAGTTTTGGGTAAAGGTGACTTAATATTTCTCAGCTCCAAACCCTTAAACATGGGTTTAATCTGGGAGTTGGCAGGCTCCCAGGGAAAGCTGGGCAGGCTCCTGGCAGCGCTGCGGATCCTGGATGGTTTCACCCCGAGAGGACCGTGCTCCAACAGATTTGTCCATTAGAGGGCATTAGAGGCCACTCAAATCCCTGAATTCCGAACTAACCGGAGAGGAGAGTGGCCCATATTCCCTTTTTGTTTGACAAGTGAGCGGTGGCTTTGTATTCTTCCCATGACTTGTCTCTTATTGACTTACCTGACATGTGCGGGATGGGTTTTAATATGTGAAGAAGCTTCCCCTCAAAAATTAAGCAGTGGATTTTCCTTTGTATTCTGTCTGACTGCAACAGGACCTGTTAAATACAACTGATCTGAGGTTAACAGTGATCACAGAATGATGGGTTATACTTCAGAGAAAGCGGAGATTCCACACACAATATTCACACCGGATCCTTCATCCCAGAAAGTCTAATCAACAAAGGATAATTACAGTTGCAGCACACTGTTTCACACAATCAGTTTCTAAATGCAAGTATTTCTATTCCAGTAGAAATCTCACTTGGATGTAAACCAGCAGGAGTTTAATTCCTGATACCTGATCTGAGGCAGTATAAAGATGTCACAAGAGCTCAGATACTCTAAAGGAACTTAATGGAACAGGAGACTTGTGCCATGCACTGGAAATGGATAAAGACACAGTCAGTGTTTGCCATTTGGCCCCAGAGGTGTAAACAAGCTCCTTGTTGAGTGTTGGAGTTTGTTTGCTCACAATCACTCCCACTCGCTGGGTTTATGTTCTAAAAATTGCAGAGGAATGAGATCATTTTGAGCATCTACTCTTTTCTTCCCCTTGCAAGCAGTGCCTTTCCCACAGCATCTCCAGAGGTTCTTACTCATAATACTATAAAGCAGCATTTTAATTGTTCTGGATGACTAATCAGCTCAGCCTGGATTGTCACACTGTCCCAAAGGATAATTCAAGGTTATCACTGCCTCTCCCTGCCATTCTGTTTCCTTACTCATTTATTGTATAACAGGGGTCAAAAAGAGAAGAGGATTCACAGGAGAGGAAGACCAGAGAGACCTTGTGACTTCAGCACTGACTGGCACTTTCTGGCTTCTCTCCTGGGTGATCTCATAGAAAGGGCAGGAGTTTGAGTCACCAGAAGAAAGCTGGAGGCCTGGACTGTCACTGGGACGAGACCAGGATTGTTGCCATGTCTATGGCTGTGCCTGACAAGCACCATCACATGGCGATGCAGCATTACTCCCTGAAGCAGCATTACACCTGCATCAGTCCCACCTCACTAACAGCAGGACAAACCACCCATCCCAAGTCCTGTCCTCTCACAGGGGCTGCTCTTCTGCACATGTGTGAGGGTGCTGAACGGGCTGCTTTTCTTTACCTTTCCCACATGATATTTGCATTGGAAGAGGCAGGGCAGGCTCCAGCAGTGTGCCCTAACACTGATTCTGGCCTGAAGTGAAGCACCAGCTCGGGAGAGCTGCTGAGAGTATCCAGAACCCACAAAACTCAGCACCCATGTGGAGCTCCTGCCATCTGCCTCAGGAGGGATAACAGGGTAGTCCCTAGGTTGAAGTGCTGGCCTTTTGCTGTGGAGGAGTTTTAGCTGTTTAGGCTGTTCCATACAAACTGTGGTAAATCCTTGATCTTCAGTCTGAATTTGCATATCCACCTATAAAACAATGCTAATATTATCCAGCAGTCAAAGACACTGTGAGTCTTAAACTGTTAATCCTCCATTTGCCTCAAACTCTTCTCTATTGCCCTCTGCACACATTCCCTGTAGCAACAGGCCTGGATATGAGCCACCCAAGTATTCCAAGCGCAGTTCCACATCAGCTCCGGCCCATCTCTGATCCGTGAGCAAACACTCTTTATCTACAAGCAACCTGCTCTTTCCCAACCCCGCTGCAGCAGGAATGCAGGTCCTCTGTTTCCAGGCAGAAGCTGTCAGACCCAACCCTGTAATTCCCCAACATGCCAGTTTTTTCTGTCCTTACGATTTTATTGATCTGCTTTACAGACTATAAGGTGGTCTGTGCCTTTCATTGTTCCTATTAAACACAACTTGCTCATCTATAAATTGCACTTACAGACAATGTATTGAAGTTTACAGTGACACCCTGCATGCAACTGATTTTCCCTCTGTGTAATCCTGCTCACCCAGTGCCAAAAACAGGTTTCATGAAAAGCAAAACCAATTCTTCCTGCCGTAAACATGGTCAGCAGTTGATTGCTGACTACATCCTATGCTACTCTGGAGTCAGAGGAACGCCGATCAGCTCAGTAATGTTTCTCACTGCACAGTGGACAGGAGTGTCATTCCAAACCCAGGGAACGCCGCAGCCTGAGTCCTGATGCCCGTGGGGCACTGTGCTCCTCTAGCAAGGAGCCTGAGCTCCAGACAATGCAAGTGACTGGCAGCTGGGTAAATCCAGGCCAAAGAGGAACACACAGAACCAGAATGTTTTGGAAAGGATTTTTCACAGGAGAAGTGGAATAGCTGTGGTAGAGGTCAGTGACTGAGATTACACTGACATAAAGCAGGCTGTGGGCATGGTGGCCTCGAGCAAGGCTGAGCACCTTTCTCTGCATCACAGGGACCCTTTTCTGTTATCCTCATCTAGGACAGTTCAAGTTCGAAACCCTCAGCATGACCTTCAGCCATCGGAGATAACAGCTCCTGCAGCTTCAGTGGGTAAATTTAGCACAGATGTTCCTGGAAGCAGCTCCCTTGCAGGGCACCCTGGTGAGCTTACAAAGAGGGATGCTTTTGAACCTGAAAGGAATAACCCCCAACCTCCGTCTCCCTTATTGCAGTGCAGTGACTCATCACGAAGGGCTGAATTCACCACACACACACGAAGCCATCTGCTCCGTTTATTATACCCAAAGATGTGGTCCAAGAGTTATAAAATCCCAAAGAGACCAAAAGAATGTGAATGACTGCAGTCTATCTCTGCTATTCCATCTGTGCAACTGCTCCACAGTGTACTCCTCTAGCAGACCTTTACAGATTAACCCCTCACATACCAGACATGCATCAATTTATAACCCCCTACAGAAAACTAATTCTAATTTCCACAATAAGCCACAGGGAGTAAAAGGTACAGAACAACAGGGGAGAAGGGGACAGAGAAGTGACAGAAGTTTTCCGGTGTGCACTGGGGCAATAGCAGCAGCTAACCCGTCTGGGGACTCTGATGGTGCTTCTTCTCTAACTTCTCACCATTCTCTTCACTGCAATCCCTTTTCCTCTTCAACTTTCTTTGCCTTCTCTTCCTTCCATTCTGCTTTTTCCTTTCACCTTCACTTGTTCCTCCACAAACTCTTGCTGAACTTTCTCCATCCCAAGGAGGCTTCTCAAAACAAGCAGGAGCTTGTGAATTATTAACAGTGTAGACTACAAATAGTGTAATATTTAATGACAGCCACACCACTAAGATGCATGCCCTGGTGCACACATCAGCCACCTTGATCTTAGTGTGACTGGCCTTGTTTGCTCCCTCACCTCTCATTTGTCAGGAGTGCTTTATGGAATGAGAGCTGTGAGGAGGGGGAACATAACTCATGGCCTGCAAAAGCACCACAGGCTTTTCTGGTCCTCTGGATCTCACACTTGCTGTGCTGATCTCCTCCCAGAGACCAAACGCCACAGCTAACAGGAACTGATAGCCCTGGTGAGCCCTGAGCAGAGTAACCTTGGTGGGGTGTCTGCTGCAAGCTGAGTGGAGAAGAGCACAATGAGAACTTGGAGATTTGAGGGCTCACACACCGGAACAAATGGCTTTTCACTGGTGGAAGCCTTCCAGCAGGAAGCCATAGCAATGGAAATGGAGCACAGCAAACACACTGCTGAGTCTTGTGAGTAGCTAAAAGACAGGCAAACACCAGGGCTCATTTTACAAACCTCAGGTAATGTTACAAAGGGATACAAAGAGAAAACAGCACCCAAACCAATTGCTGTAAAAGCAGCACCATCCCTTATCTGGGACATGCACTAATTCCAGATGCCTTTCCTAGTGCAGTCTAATGACTGAGTGAGTCAAAAAGACTTCAGCAAAGCTGATTAAGAAACACACAATCACAAATCAGTTAAAAAAATCAAAGAAGAAAAAATAACTGAGATGAGTGTAACCAGATTCACCATAGGAGAATGTGAAAGAAGCAGATCCTGCTGCTTCAGCAGCCTGGGAAAGAGCTCCAGAACCTGGATCTTGGAGAGTATTTCCAAGGCAGGCAGACAACAAAAGTCCTTTCATTTGTGAAAGCTTCTCGCAGTGTGTAAAGTCTGGAGGCAGATGCACTGAGTGTATTAGCCTCCTCCCAGCTGAACAGCGCTGTGCAGGCTTGGCAACTGCATCTGAAAAGGAGGATCATGGAAAACACATAAATCATCCAGGAGTCATGGGGCAGCCTTGCAGGCCCCTGCAGCATGTGACTGTGCAGGGTGTGCAGCTGGTGCCACCCTTGATTCCACAGATATGCCTCACCAGGGAGAGCAGGGAAACCATCTTGGCCCACTTACATGGCCAGAGTGCTGAGCAAGGGAAGCGTGGGTTCTTTATCTCCTCTTTGACTGAATCTTACCAACCAGAAGGGTTGGGTTGGTGGCTTGCAGCAGATCCCAGCTTTCCACCTCTCCTCTGTGCTTCAGGCGCAAGAGCCCTTCCAGCCAGGCATGAATACAGAAGTGTCTCCAGCACAGTCTGTGGCACCAAACACCTTCTAATAAGCTTGCAAGCACCTGGGAATTCACATCTCACAATTGGTGCCCATAACACACAAAATGTGGGCTGGGAAGTTCAAGGATTGGCATTAGGACTCCAGTGCTGTAAAGGCTGAACAGTGTAACTGCTGGAAACCCTCGTTCTCTGAAGGCGTACTACATTAGGTTAAAATATACTCCTCTGTTACACAAGACCAGATTAATGAATCGTCCCTTCTGGCCCTCAAATCTACTACGTTAATGAGCAGAAAGCACACAGAGGAGGAAGCAGCAGCTACTAGAACAGTACTTACAGAAACACAGGGACTGAAAGGCATAATAAATTGCCAAATACTTTGCCTAAAAACTAAACCAAACTAGCAAGAAGTGCTAACACTCCCCCAGAGCTGCGTAACCCAGCTGCTATCTCCCCCTGGCTACACCAGCCCCAAGGTAAGCAAACAGAATCCAGCCTCATCCTGGCTGTGTGTGAGGCTCAGACCCTCAGGAGGAATCTTACAACGTGACTCATCTCAGCTCTGGCTTCGCTCAAACATGCACAAGTTATGAGTAACTGCAGAGCAGCATTTCACAATGTTCACTGGCCACAAATCTGCTTTGTTATAAGAAGCTGTTGAGGGATAAAGCGAAGATAGGGCTCTTCCATCTGCAGGCAGCAGAGGATTAATAGAGCAGGATCTTGCTGCTAAAAAGCAGTGTCAGATTAGTGCTGTGATGTGCTACCAGGTTTATACAAACCGGCGTTAATCCGTGCTGGCGTTTAGGCCACCAGAAGTATTCAAAACTTCTTCCCTCTCCTATCTTTGACATCATCTCGCTCCAGGATTGAAGTCTGCTCTGCTGGCCTTGCTTACATAAGGGTGACTTCTGGGTGTTGCAGCAGCTGAAGAGCCAACCCATGCAGCTATTCCAGTGCCTCTGCCAGCTTGGCCAAGGCTTTGGAATGAAATCACTGTTATTCCCTGCAGTTAATTATCTGGCTCTGTGCTGAAGGAACAAGGAAGAGTCACCTAGTCTAGAGGAGGGGAGGACTTAGATAGGCAAAAGGATGCAGAAAGAGGAAAAGGAAGGCGATGAGGGAATACACAGATGTTAATACAAACTCACAGAGAAGGACATGGCCTTGGGGTTTCTTTCTCCAAGTTGTCATGGACAACTCCATTACGTTAACAGTAAATTCAACGCTTTATCACAAACCAGACCTTGCTGGATTTAGCCGCTGAATTACACATATTAAGAAATCAACACTGAAGAGTGGGAAACTCCCAAGAGTTTTCCAGCCGCTGCTCAGGGAGGATGCGCTCAGGGAGGATGCGCTCAGGGGTGCACGTCACCGTCCTACACACATTCCACAGGACGGTCACACAAGCTTTTGTATATCTCTTGGTTTACGTGTTGCCTTGTAGCCCCATGGTCAAACAGCCACCGAGGGTGTCACAACCCGGCTGCAAAGATAATGGAGACAACCTCTATCTAACTCGCTGCGGCAGAATGTCACCTGCTGCTGGCGGGGCACTTAAGCAGCACACGACGTGCCGTCAGCAGTGCACACACCGCACCCCACCGGTACCCCTGCACTAAAGCCCCCAGAAAACCCCGATTTCGGTCAGTTTTGGAGGGGTCCCCGCGGTTCTGCCCCGCTGCGGGCCGGGGCCGGTGGGAGGAGCCAGCGAGGGCGCTGCCGCCGCCCGCCCCGTCCCGCCCCGCCCCGCGCTTCACCCTGCGCCGCCGCCGCCATTTTGTCCCAGTGCCCGCGTCCCGGTGAGCGCGGTCGGTGTCGCTCCGTTGCAGGTCCCGAGGCGAGCGCAGGGCGGCCCCGTAGATGGCCAGCTTTCCCCCGAGGGTTAACGAGAAGCTCATCGGTGAGGCGCGGATGGGGCGGGCGCGGCGGGGCGGGCTCAGCGGGAGCGGGGCCGGTTCGCGCCCGGCCCTGCGGGGTGGCGGCGGTGCTGCCGGCAGAGCGGTGCCGTACGCGCCCGGGCGGCGGCGGGGGTTGCACAGCCCCGGTAGCGAGCCACATGCGTTATTCGGAGCTTCCTTGGGCAGAAGGGACGGGCACAGGCTCGTTAAACGGCGCTGAGGTGACATCGGACCCTTCCCAGGCGCTGGCCCTTTCTTCCCCAACGGAAGCGCAGGGCGGCGGCGGGGCCTCGGTGTGTTTGAGTTGTGCCTCTGATAGCGAGATGAGCCATCGCTTGCACGATGATCAGGACGTTTTAACGCTGAGCTGCTTCTCTGCAGTGACTCAGTCCCTTTGGCAGCTGAGCTTTTTGTTGGCTATAAGTGAAACACCTTCGCAGTGACATGAAATTAACATGCACTAACAGTCATACCCTTATCCCATTGCCAGGTTCCCTTATAACCTTGGGAGCTCTGTGGTCGGGTTTTAAAGCAGGAATCTCTTGTGTTCTTTCAGCACGATCACGCACGGTGGGAGAACTCCTGGCCCCAACTTCTCCCTTTGACAAGAAGTGTGGACGTGAAAACTGGACCGTGGCGTTTGCTCCGGATGGATCCTACTTTGCTTGGTCACAAGGGCACCGCGTGGTGAAGCTGGTCCCCTGGTCTCAGTGCCTTAGGAACTTGTAAGACAAAACTACCTGGCTTTTCATTCAACCAAGAAGCTTAACAGCTGTCTTATGTTGGGAAGTTCTCAACAGATTTAAACACATATAGTGGCTTTTCAGGCTTGGGGAAAGGAACAGCTATTGGTTTATTTTTTCTTCTGGGGCCAGTGAGAGAAACTGGAGCCTCCCAGAGGGTGTGCAGGAGGGACCTGGTGTTTGATTCAGATGCTCTTAAATAAGAGGAAGTTACAGTGAAAAGGGATGGAAAGACTCAGGAAGAGCTGGACTTTTAAATTTCCTATCAGAAAGCTATTTAGTTTTTAGGAATTCACTTGAAGGCAAACCCCTTCCTCATCATTCTCATTGTAATGCAAGGAAGGTCCGAAAGACACATTGTATTTTCACTTTAATGAGGTCAGGAACCAGCACTTGCATTTTCTGTAGCTGGTTACATTCCCCTCACAGCAAATCCTGCCTCCCCTTTCTTTCTTCCCTCTACTGGTGAGGGTTTATTTGGTTTCCATGATCTGGTCACAGTATCCCTTATTGTGGAAGGGATTTGCGGGGAACTTCCCGCTCATTTAGCCCAAAGTCTGGAATTTTTGTAACTATTGTTTCTGTAAATGGTTTAAAAATACTGTTTTCACAGTGGGTTAGTTCATGCATTGTTTCCTGCAGAGGTAAACCGGGATAAAGAAGTATTAGTATTATACTGTATAAGAAAGCTTCCAGGCGTTAGTTATAAGACAGTTACAATAAAAAGCTGCTTTTATAATTTGACATTAAACCCACACCATTATAGATCTCCAAAACATACATTACAGCAACTCCCAGATTTCAGCACATCCTCAAGACCTCTCTGTTCTATTTCCTTCTCAAGATACTTCAATGCCATTGCTGTTTTTCTTTTGTGCTTGCTCTGCAGCTTGGTGCACGGCACAAAGAATGCTGCCAACTCTCTCGGCACAAGACTTCCAAGGCAGAACAGTGACAGTGCTCAGAAAAACAAACCCTGTGAGCATATCATAGACTGTGGAGACATCGTGTGGAGCCTGGCGTTTGGCTCCTCGGTGCCGGAGAAGCAGAGCCGCTGCGTGAACATCGAATGGCACCGCTTCAAGTTCGGACAGGACCAGCTCCTCCTGGCCACGGGCTTGAACAATGGGCGCATCAAGATATGGGATGTATACACAGGTAGAGTGGGAGAGAGGAACTGTTACCAGTGCACAAAGTGACAGTGAAGTGCCATCGTTCACACACACAATGAATTGGGAATTGAATCTTGAATACAAATTAATCTAAAAAAAGCATAAACTCCTCCAACTAGAAATGTTCAAAGACTGCTGGAGGAAGGAACAGGTTCAGGTCATGCTTCAAGATGTGAGTGACATAAGAGGAAGCTTCATTGCTGCAAAATGGTTATGTGTGTGATTGACTTTGTGAATGGTAGTTTACACTAAAATCTTCCCTGGATTTAGTGGTAATATACTTTCAAACAAAGGAAACTTCAAAAAGCTGAAGTTGCTCTCTGTTCTTGAGTATAGGGAGGGATTATGTTGATGAGAACCTTTTAAAAGTATGTAACTGTTTAAATAAGAGACTGCATTTGAGATGAGGGAGTCTCAAGTAGCTGGTGGCACAGCTGCTAGGCCAGGAGAGAACTTCTCAGCTTTAGAGAAGTGAAACTAAAGACTGTTGAGTAATTTACATTGTCTTGTAAATTTAAGCTGAGAACAGAGATGCGTATCAAAAGACAAGACTTGCCTTATTTCTGAGGCATGTGGGCTTAGTGTAGAGATTTACTAGCTTTCTGTATCAAGAGGCAATTTCCTGAAGAGTCTGAAAGTGCTTCCTGCCGAGGCAGCATTTCTACATTGGCTTTACTTGCTCTAATTTTGTATCCATAAAGCATTGATCTGAATGAAAAAGCTGTCCTTCATTTGGAATTGTGGTGTTTTAACAGGAAAACTCCTCCTTAACCTGATGGACCATACAGAAGTTGTTCGAGATTTAACCTTTGCCCCAGACGGGAGCCTGATTTTAGTGTCTGCATCCAGAGACAAAACACTGCGAGTGTGGGACCTGAAAGATGATGGTAGGAATTCAGTTTAGCTGCTGCAATATGTGGGAGAAATAACCACATACTCTCCTCTTTTATTGCTATAAATGAAGTTAGGTAAAAAAAAAAAAATCAATCACCCTGTGTGTTCTGTTGGAATTCTTTGTGTGTCTCCTAAAGGTAGAAACTGGTATCACATTAAGTTAAGAGTGTGCAAAGTGACTTCTTTTAACAGGGACTTGGGATTTAAAGGCTGCATGACAGAATTTTTATTTCTCTGTAAAATGCCTCTGCAAGATGTGTGATATTTAACCAATTCTTACGGGAATACCTGTCTTTTTAGGAAACATGATGAAAGTGTTGAGAGGACATCAGAACTGGGTATACGGTTG